CTGTGAATGGATCGAGCCAGAGCACAAGTGTTACTCATGGCATGGCTTGAACCGGGGCAAAATAGAATCTCATAAAAAATGATGCATGCATAATCGCTTATTTTCAATGTTTCGCGTACAATTTTCTGTATTGTTTACCATGTTTGGCTAACGATGTACAGACTCGCGGTTTTTTTCTTTCTCCTTCGTCATCTTCGTCGTGTTTGTCTTCTATGCGCGCGATTTGTTTACGGTATGGATGTTTTCAACTTTTCAACATATTAATTTATGGATGTATTTCAATAACTTCATTAAATGCAATAAATCGATTTTCACTTATTTCATTGAATCGTTGCACATGGCTTTCCGTTTTTGTTTTTTGAGCTAGAATCCAAAGCGAAAGTGTTGGTATTTTGTGTACTGATATTTTTGTTTTCACGCGCAAGACCGATTTCCTGTGCCAAATAAAATATGATGTGTGAGTTGTTTTTTTTTCTTGATGGAGAAGTGGAGAGAGTTAACATCAATCTTCCCGTTGCATTTCAGAATGTTATTATGGTGAGCCACCTTCACCATCAAACACGTTCACAAATCATTTCAACCAAACTGACACTCAACTCATTAATGCTCATTGCACCTGTGCCATAACATAATCATACATCCGCCAAACCAAATAAAGAAGATATATTCAACCGTCGGTGCGATTACATCATTCAACTGCAAAAGCGCATTATCCATCTTTCTTCTTGTTTTTGCTTTTTTTTTTAATGAAAAACAAAACACCAACATTTTGTCGCATTAATGCGTTTTGCGTATGAATAATATGCAATCGATCAATTCAATGAGCAATAAAAATAAATAAATAAATCTGCATGCGTCCATTGTTTATGGTTGTTCTATGCGCGTATTGTGCTATTGCACCCATGACACATTCATTGTTTCATTATTATTAGCTTTCGTTCACGATCAGCCGGAAATAAATTCGTTTTGTTCGAAAGATTGAGCCATTTACTTCCGGAAAGTTAAAGCCATCCAACGAGCCGTACATACATTATGAGCCACTCATTTTCACGCTGTTGTATTCATGAAATAAAAGAAATTGTTTGTATTCAAAACAGCCAACTAGGAACATGTGCTTACAACAAAAATGTACGCTCAAATGAAAAAAGAAGAAGAAGAAAAAACACCGTTCGATTCATCAATGGTCATGTGTTAAGTATTATAATTAAAATCGTAGTTCTTTTTCCAAAATATTCTAATGAAAAAATCATAGTTTGTTTAATAGTAAAAAAGGCGAGATATTCTTCAATGAAAAAATGGCCTTTTTAATGGTTTTTCAATAGAAAAAGTTAGGTGAATTCTTCTAAATGAATTCGAAAATTATTGAATGGTTGCAGAAATCACCGAATTAGAAGAAGAAGAAGAAGAAGAACAATGAAAATTACATTTGCCATAAGAAAATCCGACGAATGCCAGATTATGAGATGCAATCAATTGTGATGTCAAAATTCATAATGTTTGTAGCAAAATAGTGGGCTAAAAATCTTTTAATCTTCGTGAATTGACCAAGTGCCATATCACTTCAAAAGCACTGATGAACATGCTCTCTGAATTCATCATGGCAAAGGAATCGTTATACAATTCTATTCGTTTTGACTTAGCGCCCGTTTCACATTCGAAAATTTAAAATAAGATTTGTAAGATTTTTTTTAATGGTTAAAGTGAAATTGAAACGAGAGATCGATATGGAGATAAAAAGGAGATGAAATCTAGGGAAATACGTTCGCACAAGGAAGGCGCAGATAGAAAATGGCACGCACACAAAGTATACAAAATGTTATAAATGGAAAATTACGTGAGATGTAAAATTGCGGCGAAAAATCAGCAACACGAACAAATAAAAAGCACATACACCGATGGAATGACCGATATTGAGTGTGTGTTGAAGCGAACAAGAGCGCACCAAATTCAAATAAACAACTATCCATAACCATAGAAATTGATTTGAAATATTGTAGTATAGTATTGAATGTATCGCAAATCTGGTGGTGGTGATGATGATTTTGCTCGTGGCGGACAAATTGCATACGTGATAGAGATAGAGAAAAAGGAATAAAGTACACATAAACACACCGAAAATATATAGTGCAGGCATCGGTGGCACGGATATCGACGAGGGATAGAGAGAGAGAAAGAGGAAGAGAACGACTGAGAGCAAAGATGATGCACAATGAGAGCAAAATCGAGAGAGGGAGAGAGAGTGAGTGAATCGTTGCTGATGATGGTGAAAAATGCGCGGCGATTTAGTAACATACCGAGAATGTGAGAAAATTCGTTGAAAATGGACGAAAATAGATTTTCGTCTTTTGGCTTTAACGAAAAACGAAAGAATTTATGCTAAACACAGAAAAATTGACACACCACACCGCCCAACATGAGGATAAACGACGCAACAAATCACCGTTCGTGCGGAGCCGGGTGTGAATGAAAGTGCATACGTATGGTCATCTCGCTTTAATACACTTTTGTTGTTGTTTGTGGTGTGTGTGTGTGTTTTTTTTTTCTCTTTCGTTGCCTTTTTGTGTTCAGCTGATACAATAACCTAAAGCCAATGTGAGAGATGATCGAGCTAGTCTACTTCTACTTTGAGAAAATTATAAAAATAAATTTCATCGTCAATGGGAATTCGACAACAGTTTAGTCATTCAGTTGGACTGTTGTTTTGGGCCTATTATTCGATTTGGCCGCTTTTTTCATCACCCAAAAACGAAGCGAAGAAGAAAAAAAAACAAACAGAAGAATGAAAAACAACAAAGCAAACAGCAACAGAAACAACACACACAACTCTAAGATCTATTCAAGCTTTTATAGGTAGAGATTGTGTTCTCTATTTCTCTTGCAAAATATGCGGTGGCGGCGAGAGGCATACTCACCGAACACTTTCAAGAATTTATGCACATAAAATACGCTCGGGCTCTTCGGAACGAGCTCTCTGCTCTCTGAACGAGAGCGAGAGAAAAACGACTTTTCATTTGTAGCATTCAATAAATGATGTTTTTATGAAGAAATTCTATTTTTTTGTCGGATGAAATACGCCGCTGGATCACTCTTTCGGCTCCTCGATCGATATATTTTTGGCATCAAATTTTTGACTCAAGCCGAATTTCTCGGAATACGCATTTGTCACTGCCAAGTATTTTCTTGTTGTTTCTTTTCGCTTTTCGATTTTCTTTTTTGTGCGTTCAAACAAGAAGCATGACTACATTGAAATGAACATGTTTCGATTACATTGTTGCAAATTGCATCAGAAAACATTCTTGAGTGCGTTTTCCTCGTCTCTCAAATTTGTTTACTCTTTTTTTTTTTCTAATTTCCCTTACATTGGCTGGCAAATTAAAATCGTTCTCGCGTTGTTGAGATGGGAATACGGGTGCCATTCGAAAATAATGCGGAAAATTTTGAATTTGGTCATTCGTGTTGAGAGCAAAGATGAAACGCACAATAAAACGCAAATGAGCTCCCACGCAAATTGACCCGTCCGAGATGTAAACGCGTTTCTATCTATATTTCCAAACACTTAGCTCAATTTCACATCGATTTTTGAATGATTTAGACATCAAATCGATTTTATTGCTGTTTGAGAGTCACAAGTAGGAATTCAGTTCTACTGGACATTTCTTCAAATGTGAGTTATTATTTCAAATGTTTTGAATTGTGATGGCGATACGACACAATAAATAAATGGAAGAGAATTACATTTGTAGGTACAAGTTCAATGTTCATTATTAGAATACGTACCAAAAAATGATTGAATTGAAACGCTTGAATGGTCAAAATATGGTTAAAATTCAATCTCAGATCTGTTGGTCGAATTTCTGGAGTCTTTTATTATTTTTGTTAGTTCATGTAAATGCAGTCGGAATACCGGAATCGGATTTCTTATTATCGCTGCTATCTCTTTCACTAGATGATTTCATAGAGAGATGGTTGTTGTCGTCGTATTTTTTTTTAATGAGTTGTATAACGCAAATTGATATGACTTCGGTGCGTGTTTAAAAGGCGAAAAGCCATTTGGTATGGTATTTTGTTTTGTTGGCTGTTGTTGAATGTGGGTGGAGAGCTCGGTCAATCTACGGCCATATACACGTATCCGAAATGAAACGCAGCGTAAGAGAGAGAGAGAGAGAGAGAGTGAGAGGGATAGAGATACACAGCGAGAGAATATATCATTATTGCCTTTTTTTTCCTTCAAATAAAAAAGAAAAAAGAAGCAACAAAATCCCATCATCATCATCGTATATTTATAGTTGCGATGACTTCTTTCTCATCGGGCCGAAGGCGCGCGCGATAAGTAGCACATTGCAATTTAGTTCAGCGCCACAGCGTACAGCGGCATGAAAAAAATCAAATATAGTCGATGTTTTGTTACCGCTGCGTTATTTGCGTGAATCGATGAGCGAGCATTTGCTCAGTGTTTTGCTCTCTTCGCATTGCTGCTCTCTCTCTCTCTCTCTCTCTCTCTCTCTTATTCTCTTTTCCTATCTGGAACACAAAGAGAGTGAACAACAGAACGGCAATCAGTGATGTGCAGCTGCTTGAGACGTACACGATTCACTATCATGTGCATACACAACACACAGCGAGAGAGCCATGATATCTGAACTGAGAGGGAGAGAGAGAGAGAGAGAGAGACCGCGCGCGCTCATGAGAGAGTAAGAAATCGCAAGGGCTCTTCATCGCAAGTGTAATGCTTAACTGAATCATCATCATTTTGACGTTTCTTGTCAAAGAATGTCGAATTGTTTGCATGTGTTAATTTTGGTTAGACCGATTTCTCTCTCTCTCTCTCTCTACTTCTGTTTATATTTGAGAGTAGTCTTCATCTTCTCGTTCCGAAGAATGTCAGAAGTTAGAATTTGCACTGACATTTACTCATTTGTATCTTAACCATTCAAATGTAATTTCGATTTGTTGAGAAAGAAATGGAAAAGAAAAGCCGACACAGATATTTGAATCCTTACCTTTTTCATGATTCCGGTTTTTCGCTTTGAGAACGTTGTATACCGTCTGAGTTTGTTGTCAATGTATTCCATTTTGATTTTCACGCGTCCCTTTGTCTTTTTGCCATTGGCTGGAGGTGATTTTTTCTGCAATGTTGTGTAGCTATCGTCCACAACGTCTGGCACACCACCGGTACATCCTTCCAGCTGACTGAGACTCTGTGAACCGATACCGCCACGATCATCATAACAATCCGAACTGGTGCGTTTGATGCCACGACTGTTCGACATTGAGCCGCATTGTTGATTTGTGCCCATCATACCGCCGCTACCACCGCGACCCATCGACTGGCTCAGGCCACTTGGTGGCCGCACCAGTGCTGGATTTGTTTGCCCATAAATATCCGGATTTTCACCCATTGACAAACCAATGCTCATGCTATAATTTAAATTATAACGCGAATCTCGACCTGACGGATCCATTTTTACTACTTTTTTTGTTTCTTCTTTTCAACTGATTTGCTAATTTTCCAATTTTTAAAACCAATTAATTTAACTACTTTGAATCGCGAATGCTAACTTTTTTTTCTTTCGTTCCCGATAAGTGTACGCTATTTTAAATCGATGTTTCTTTTCTTTATCAGTTTTCTCGATAACTCTTAGTTACGATTACACTTTGTATACGATTGCCCATGAATGACGAGTATTCGATGGAATTTTCTTTCGATTTAGTGTAACGCGTTTCATTCAACTTTTGCAACAGTCAGAAGCACTGTGAACACTTTTTGTTTCCATGTATTGAGTCGCTAAGTCTTTTTCGGATTCGGATAAATTATTAGATTATATATTTTGTTTACGCACAAATTGAAAAATTACACATTCACTCGGAGCGGTTCAAAAATGAATCAGAACACGGAACAAATGTGTGTTGTAAAATGCTCTCGACACAGTAATATACATTAAGCGTACGAAATGCATGGGGCAACTATTTTTAATTTGGAGTTGAGTTGTTTTTGTTCTCGTCCTAAAATCTCAATTCCAATGTGCGGATGCACGGATATTTTTGTGTGGATTCTATAAGTGTCAATCGTTTACTTCGGGTCGGTATGCCAAACACCGATGGTCACATTAGTTAAATGATGTATTCGCCGGTTGTATTACGTTGTTTGTAGCCGAAACGTTAAGTGGCATGTATTTAATTGTCTTGTGATACCTGTCGATTCACTCGAAAAATTAAATTCAAACAACCCACACAATCACTTTAAACTATTTCGTTTCGAAATTCAGTATAATTGCATTTGTACGATCTGCCAACAGCGCGAATTCACTGTGTCTCCTGTGTCTGTCGACCGTCGTGTTTTGGCTGACGAAACGGAATTGTTATGGTACGATGGTCACAAAACTATATCAAGAGAAAGAAAATAGAGTCCAAACAAAAATGACACTTAAAATCAATCTTTAACCGTACGAATTTAACGAAAAATTAAGGAATTTTTGATAGGAAATTTAGGTGCTGTTGGTTTTTTGTTTTGCCGAAGTTTTAGGATACGCGACGACTCAATCGAATTTGCACTTAAAAAAAACTAAAGGCAATAAACAACCAGACAGTGTTTTCAGTGAAACAAGAGCGAGAGAGGAAAGAAAAAGTCACACAATACATTTAAAACACAATACACAACTACCTTCGCTCGTTTCGCCGAATCTCCGTCACACGTTTGAACAGTGTGTATATGTGTGTCAATGTATGCGTCTGTTTATATGCTCTCTGCTGTTATCGCTGCCGTCGCTGCTGCTGCTGCTGCTGAATACAATTTGACAAAAGTCAATTCGACGTTGTTACCATTCATTTGGTTATACACATCGGCCGGATTCTCTCACTGTTCTCACTCTCTTTCTTTCTCTGTGTGTGATACACGTTGTGCGCTCTCTCGTCTCGATTGTGACAGCAACAACAAAAACCACAGTAAATACGTTACGTTCCACGATGCGATGATTCTCTTGTATTATTCGGCTCTCCAAACGAAAAAAAAATGAAGTTTGATTGTATGGAGCTGGAAATGGCCCGTTGTCTCAATACGAGAGAGTACGTTTGAAACGCAACACGAATTTAAAAAAAAACAGCTGAATGGAAACGTAGCGCTTAAATGAAATTCGTTGAAAATTCGCTTAATCTTCGGTGGCTCGTTCGATTGGTTCTAACGCGAATGCGCAGTTTTGATAGAATTTTTTTAAATTTATTCTTCCGTTTGGTATGCACAAACTAATTCAATTCCAAATTGTAGTCGAATTTTTGCGTTTAACACTTTCGCTGAATCGATGGTGCTGTTCAAATAAACAGATGTTGCAAAATTGGTCCAAACACCCGTCGCCAAATCACCAAATCTGAAATGTTCAAACAGTTTTTTTTTCTCTCGATTAAAATCAAGTCGAGCAATTTTTTCCATAAAATTATTTAATTGAATTTTTCACACTCGTCAGAAACCGAAAAAAAAAAATTAAAAACTGCAATTTAGAACAGAAAAAAAAACATTAAACGGAAAAAAACTACAAGTTCTCATTTTGGAAAAAGGAAAAAAAAGAGAAGAAAAAAAAAATCAAAAATTCGGGCAATTTTATTTTCTATTTCAATTTTGGTAAACTTTGACCAATTTGTCCGTACGTTCGCGCGCGCACCCGCTGTATTTGTTGCGATAAATAAAACAAGTGCAATCTGTAACCAAAAATAAAACGGCGCGAAATCCAAATGTGGACAAAATGTTGCAAACAAATAAAACACAAATGTAATACACGATTTACCGGAACAAGCAAATCGGATGATGAAAACAACGCAGATGGAATCAAGACGTATATGTATGAAGCAGGAGAAAAAAAATGCACACACAACAAATAATACAGAACACAACTGAACTGATTCCCAAATTGTACAAAAATATGTTATTTATTTGGTAAACGTCGCTCGTTCAACGATCTTATATGTACTGCACTTTATCGTTATAGCCTTCGTGCACCGTTTTCAGATAAACACATCATTCACAGCTGAGCGCTGCGTTTAAAATAGAATCAAATTTGAAAATACCACGGAACTGAGCTTCATATGGCAAAAATTAAAGCGAGACAAATGGATGTGTAACGTGCGACACACGGCGATCGCTCATTCTCGTCAATTCGATCGTTTTTCGTTCGCGCACTCACACTCATGATGCGCGCGCGCCGCTCGTACTTTTCTTGCCTATCTCTATCTCTCTTTCTCTCTTGGCTTACAGGCCAAGCCGCGATATCATGAAGCCACTCTGCTTCTGCTTGCAAAGGAGTATGCGCATTATACACGGACACTACAACGTCTCTCATACGAACGCAACACGCTTAGCTCTTGTATGCACTTGTGAGTTTTTTTTTTCTTTTCGTTCATCTCTTCATTTCGATGGATATTGCTGCTCTCTCTCTCTCTCTCTCTCTTGCGCCTTGAAGTGCACGATCAAAAGAGAATAGCACCCACTTTTAACATTTTCAGCGAAACAAAAGGAGAGAAAATGTTTAGTGTATGTGCTTCGTAGTATGAAACAGAAACACAGCCAGCACTCCGTAATGCAACATTATCCGGCTTACTCTTTCTCTGCAACTCGATGATCTTGTTGGTTGCCGTCGTTTGATTTACCAAAAATGGACTAATGAGGGGAAATAAAAGCCAACAAATCGAAATGAACATAAATTTTGTTGTTTGGCTTGAGTACGCCCCATTTTGGCCATGTGTGCTACCTGGTGCTAAATCTACCTCAGTGAAACCATCTTTTCGATATTGCGACGCAGAAAATTGCGTCAAAATAATTACCAATTGTCAGCAGTCAATCAACGGGGCCTAAGATTATTCCACAAATTCAAAGCATTTCAGAGTAATGACTTGTTTTGCGGATTTTGAATCGAAATCACTGAATTTTTTTTTGCAACAACCTATTATTTCTCTATCAAATCCTAAAGTTTAACGAAAAGTTTAATGAAAAATCCTAAAGTTTAACGAAAAAAGAACTGCAATCTCATTTTGTTTCCATTTTCCGTATGGCATCTATCAAAAATTTCATTGCCCAAAACTGCACCAAAGATAAACATTTCATTTGCACGGTGTTTATCTGTTGAATACTTTGTGAAGTGACTTTTCAACATATGACTTCATCGGCGAAATAATAAAAATGCGCAAAATGGGAGGAGATTTGTAATGAAAAGGCGTGTATTACGGCATTTTTCAGTCTATTTCGTCTCTAACCCATTGAGACACACTTAATTTGCTTTGATTGTGGCCAGAGGCGATCATTGCATATCTACTATTGAGCAGCCGTATTGTGTTTTGTCTCACATCGATCCGATCCGGTGGTCTTGAAGAGTGGGGCATCAGAGAGACTATCGTCGTCGTTGTCGTTTTCTCATACCGTCTTGCTCAACACGATCACATTTCAGTTGTTCAACTTCTTTTTGTACGATCACAACACTCAACTGTACCACTCCAACACACCAATCCAATCCAAGTCGTCAATATTCTGCTCACATTTTCGATATAAATTTCATATCTTATCCCATCACGGCCGTAGCCAGCACAAATTTCTTGGATGAGCGGAGAGAATTTTTGGGTGAGCGCAGCAAAATTTGATGATTATGAAAATGTCATTAATTTTAAAAATCGATTCTGTCTAGAGTAAAAGCCACAAATAATCAAATAATGTATAAAATGTGATTTTATAGAGATCCCAGCCCTTTGGAATTTTATTCCTTTTATTCCAAAAACGCTTCATTCACAGATTCACACTATATCACGGTGAAACACGTGATTTGTAATTTCTAGCGAATCGTCAGGATTCTTAATCCCATCAGATTCAATTTAGTGTCTGTAATAATTTGAAATTGTTATTGGTATTGTATTGCTTGAACTTTATAATATGCCACGTCAGAACTAACATATCAATTTAAGACAACGGTTTACACTGTGTTGATGTTGTCAATTTGATGCAGAAATTTCTTGAAAAACCAATACACACCACAGCCATTGTAAATTAGTTATTATCAATAGGAAAATAACTCAAACGATTCGCTAGAAATTACGTATCTACAGAAATATAGATTTTCAGTATTCAGTTAGAAAATCGTACTATAATTAGAGAAATTCGGACATTTTTCAATATAGTTGACCAATTACTTTTGCATTGATGTGGTCAAAATGTTTTTACTTTAATCATCATTCTCTGTTGTCATTTGTATCGCCGTACTCGTAACTCATGTTGTTGGTTTTGTATTGCCTTAACCCGTACGTAACTTGCCTTAACCTGTACTGATTTTCATTTTACGTACGGGTTAAGGCAATACAACACTTTAATCATCATATTTGGCTTCAGTTATGTTGGTTAAGTGTAATAAAAATATAATTTGTGTAATGTTGAAATGAAAAAAAATTAGTTGCGAGCGGAGCGAGCAAAATTTTTCAGAGGATTCTTAATTACAGCGAAAACTATAGCTAAAATAATTTTGGGAGTCGAGCATTTTTAGGTGAGCTCAAATAATTTTTGGGTGAGCTGAGCTCACCCAAGCGTATGGCTGAATACGGCCGTGTATCCCATTCATTTGAAACCACATATTCGTCCAATCTGAAATTTTAATGAATTTCTTTTTTATTCAAACCGACAAATCACAACGAAACATATTTTATGAATGAATAACAAATTATTTGTACATAAATGACCCATTCATTTTCGGGTGAACAAATGCTTCATAGCTCAATCTGTATTTTATCTCCAAGTACGCAATTTGATTGTTAACATTACAATATACGATTGTAATATTATGATTCAACTGAGTTTTCAAATTGTGACAAAAAAAAACCAAAACTTTTTTCAAATTGTCAATTTTAAATTGATGATTTTAGAAGTGCATTTTCAATTGAATACATTTTTAGGATAAAAAACGTTTCTTTTCACTTTTTCATTGTAACTTCATGCGAACAAACTTATAGTTATCTGTTTAATACAGATGTTTATGATTTTATCAATTCTAAACCCGAACTCTTTTTACATTTTCTTTATCCAATGACAAAAAAATTTTCGACTGAAAAATATGTGAATAGATATTCTTTTATTGCTATTTTTACGCTATTCGCTACAACTCTAATCGAACTCCGTAAAAAATTCAACAAATTCGTACGTCCAAGATTTTATTTCAATTTAAAGGATGAATAAACGTAAAATAAATGGCCAAATTGTAGGCTTAGAATGTGAATATTCCAAGATACTATCTTGAAGAAAGCTTGAATAAAATGAATTGAAACAGAAAAAATCGTTTGAAAGTATTCTAAATCTCATGGATGTACTACATTTTATTAATCTACATTTACGTTAATAATAGATCAAATTCTCGCTATCATTCATGAATAATTGTACATTTTACTGAGAAATAACGGAGCCAAAAATCCTCTCTTGATATTCATATACCGATGCTAAAGTAACGACAATACTGGAAAATCTATTCAAATTCGCTGTGTTGAAACGTTTAGTAACGCATTCAAAGCTGTCAGCGACTGACGTATCCAAATACATAAACACACGTCCAAGTGTGCGAAGAGTAGGCATTTGTCAAATATTAGGTAACGAGAGAAGAAAAAAAATCGCATTATAACAAACTACGTTCTATGCAATCACTTGATTTTTATCCAATAAATAACTAGGTAAGTGAATAAAACAAATGGAAACAAATTCATTTTTTAAGCATTTCTCCGTTAAATCCCAATTCATAACCTCAAAAGTTTTAATAAAAAATCAATATAGCTCTAGATTCACATAAAAATCAACTAAAATGTCGAGAGGACAGCAAACCTTCATTTCGATCATTTTCCAAAATTTCAAAAAATCCCTGCGACCAGCACAGCGAGTCGGCACGTACATGGGTGAAGATTATTTTGGAAATAAATATTATGAAATTCCAGCTCAACCACAGATTGGAAAACGGCGTCCAGAACGATGGTTTGTACCGGGCGATCGAAGAGATGACAGTTTCGATAAAGAAATTACTGCTGAGTGGGAATCATGGCTACGAGGCCGAAGGTATTTGTTTTTACTAACCTTTGAATAGGTACCATTTTTAAATAAAACCATCCGATGAATATCGAGTTGGTTAATTTTAATAGCAAATAATTGAAACAATAGCCCGTTTTTAATTTAACAATTGATTCCCTTGCAGAGCTGAAGTACCAAAAGAGGATGAGCTCAAGCACAATTTAGCCATAATGCAAATGAAGAAGATCAACGCTGCTGATCTCGATGCTAAATTCTCGGATGGAACAGAGAAACCACCAAAAATCACCACCGGATTGAGCGATTTCCCCAAATACGACGAATACGAAACGGTCGTTGGAAAAGCAGTGCCGAAAAAAGACTCTTAATACCTTGTTAATTGTAAAAATTTCAAAAATTATTTATAAGAAAGTAATGATAGAATGGAAATAAAAAAAACGCCAAGTATTTCTTTTTTTATTTACATTTTATTTCATAATTATTTCTCTTTTTTACCCCCATCAAATACTCAATTGAAGAAGGAAATTTGGAAATCATATTTTACTTTCGTATATTTGTGTGTGTAGTAGTAGAAGTTGTTATTTGTCATTTGGTTGCACATGAATTTGATTTAATCTCTTTCTTTACAATGTACTTTGATTGAGTTGTGTATGTTTGTTGCTTTGTTTTCTCGTCGAAAATTCTTCTAAATTACATTGTGGCATTGTTACATTTTTACAGATTGCATTAATTGTTCTTGTCCTCTCTCACCCAAATTTGGAAGATTATTTCAACACACAATGATTGCCAACAAATTGGTTATTATTAAAAATGTATAATTAAAAAAAAAAGACGTGGCATCGATCAAACCAAATCGTTGAAGTTATACATCAAAAACAATGTGTGCAAATCGAACAGGACAAAGCGAAAAACGTTCGTTGAGAAGAAGAAAGAAAATAAAAGAGGGAGATAGAGTGAAAGGTAAAGATAGAGAAATGGTTGAATTGATACATATACTCCGAATCCTAAATCGTAAAATGATTGCATTCAATTGGCATCGATGACACAATTGACATTGTTTTGAGACTGAACGCTTCTTATCTGACAGCATTGGATAGAAACCATTCTAAAGTTTTTTTTTCGTGTTTTCTGGCGGAAACGTCACTTTGCACATCTTTTGTTTGTTTGTTTGTTTTTTTTTTCTTATGAACAATGTTAATAATTTAACAATTTATTTGAATCGATTTAATTCATTCTTTTACTCATTCCGTTTCCTTTCATCAATTTGCTTTCATTTTTGTTTTACTCAAAATCATTATCGTCAACAGAAAAAAAGAGAAATTTTGGTATCATTTACAAATGTCGAGTAACTGGTGTAAACATTTGATTTGTATGATTTTGTTACGCATTGTGTTGTTGTTGTTAAATTAATTCCTTTCACAATGTATGTATACAATTACATACAAGTTCGAGAAAAAAAAACTCTCAATTGGTGGTGTTTTAAAGTTTTAAATTTGTAATTTTTTTTGTTTGTTTAACCGGATAAATCACCATGATCGAATAACGCTTGGTCATACAGCTCGGCTTTGACTAATCGACCACCGAAATATCGTCCATTGAGAGCGTCACGCGCCTTTTCCGTCTCGGATGCAAGTGAAAATTCCACGAAAATTTTAACAATCACCTCGGCACTGTCATCATCTTCGAATTCCGATTGTTTCTCATTGTAAATGATAACCCGTTCGACAATACCAAATTTACTGCATTCATCTTGAATTTCCTCTTGCAGCATTTCGTCAATATCTTCTGGCCCAACCATATTGCGTAAAATGACCACTTTACTGTCGCGTGGCCGCATCAAACGTTGCATCACCAGGTGACGAGCATTTTGACCTTTTATTGACATCGATTCTTGTTGCTGTAGCGTTTGTGGCTCTCCTTCTTCCAACAGTTTCTTTTGTAATTGTTGCTGTTGCTCCTGCGTGAAGAAAATTTGAACAGAAATAAAACGAAATTAATTAAAGGTATGAAAGAAATTAGATAAAATTAAAGATTTCTCTGTTGATATTCGAAAATATGAACTCACCAATTGTTGTGAATTTCCATAACCGCCATTTGCCGACGGTCCAGCCAGTGTTGCGGCCAGTGTGTTGCCCAATGCGGCTTGTGTTTGTTGTGCCTGCGCCTGAATCAAAACGGTCTGTTGCGGTATAGTGGCGGCTAAAGCAGCTTGTGTCGTGTGTGTCAATCCTTGTAATGCGCTGGCTAAAGGTACCTGTGTGATAAATAGAAAAAACAAAATTCGATTTAATCATATTTGAAAATGTTTACGAAAATCCAGCAGATTATTTCAAAAAGATTGTTGTTGAAAAGAAAAAAAGAAACGATAAAAACTTACGGTAATTGTCCCTTGACTACTTTGTACAGCACTGGCTAGGGGAACGGTGATTGTACCTTGGCTACCTAAGGCTACTGGATTTACAATTTGTGGCGGTTGCAATGGTGTTGCTGTGGTGGGCAAAACAATTCCAGGCGTTGGCAAAAGTGGTACTTTCTTGTTGATTAGGAAATTACCAGCGACAACGGCACTGTTTGCAACGGCCGCATTCGCCAGCGGTAAACTGGTTTGAATGCCGAGCGTGGGTGCGGCTGCCGATAAACCCAACACAGTATTACTTGCCACCGCATCCATTGCTTGAATTTTAGCAGTTGCAGCTGCTGCGGCCACAGCAGCAGCCGTTGGCATCGAAGAATTCAATGTTGGCCCCATGAGAGCGTTTGGCGGTGTTATTGCACGACCAACACGCAACAGTTGACCACCCAAATCGAATAAATTCATGCTGGTTATAGCCTCGTCCATCGCCTGTTTCGTCGAATATTCGATGAATCCGTAGCCTTTGTGCGAATGCAATGAATTCCCTTGTGCCAATCGACTGTACAATATTGGGCCAAACGCCTCGAATACACTCTTAATATCCTCTTCAGTCAAATCCGGATGAATTGATGCAATGTAAATGCGATTGTAGTTTTTCGCCTCCTCCTGAATTTCATCAATCACTTGTTGAGCTTGTGGCATGTTACTCGGTCGACCAACCTGAAAATGGACAAAATGTGCAAATAAACATTTCCATTGTGTTCTGTTGCGCTTGAATCGAACGATTGCTGTTTATTGAAAATAGAAAGTTTACCTTAATATTTCGACCACCCATCATCGCTCCGTTCATTTGCTCGAGTGCGAGTTGTGCTCCTTCCGGAATTTCATACTCGACAAATGCGAATCCTTTATGCTTCTGTGTGATTGGATCCCATGACATGTTGATCGATTTGATCGGGCCAAACGGTAGGAAAGCAGCTCGGATTGTGTCTTCTTTCAGTTCAAATGAGATACTACCCACATAAACCCTGGAAAAATGGATTTCATTTTGCGTATTTTAATACAAACATTTTTACATAGACACATTTTTTCGACATACTGATTTTTAATTTTGGAAAATAATCTCAGATCTTATCAGCTACTTTGAAGTAATCATACTAAAATGGAATTCATCTGAACCAAGTGCTAAACAGGTTCAGGACTCGACATTTTTGTGGTTCAGTTTGTTCTCTGTCAAACCATTTCTATCGTCATTGAATGTTTTCCAAGATTAACGGGCAATGGTCAAATTGATATTTCCGTTATTCACTCAAAAGGTAAACAAATTGAAAATGAGACACCAAACTCAGTAAATGCAATTCAATTCAGCGTCTCTGCATATCATACCATGTAATTATAATTATCGGTAGTGTTAATTTAATTACCTGCACATAAGAGCCAATGCTTGCTGACGTTGAACTTGTGTCCGCTGACTAGCCAACTGTAAATGGAAAATCGATTAATCAACTGAAATAACACACAGAGTTTAAGAGAAGCGCGAAAGTATTGAGATCTATACCTGTTGATGGTGTGCCAGTGTTTGTTTCATTAACACCATGCGAATACTTTGTTCCATGGCGTATTTCTTGGCTTTGGCAACTAAATCATGTTGATCGGATGTTAGCTTTGGCAGCGCACCACCCAGAATACCGAGCAGGGCTGAACGTGAGCCGGGCCCAAATTCCACATCGCCTAACTGTCGTAAATCATTCAATGGTGCGCTTATAAATGGCATTTTCGGTTGCCAATCTACGAATATGAAAATCGAAATGTCAATTAAAAATGTTCATTTGGTCCATTTGACGATCAAAGACAGCGTTACCAGCTGCCCATCATATTCAAACAACATTCCAATCATTCGCCAAAGACAATTGAAGTTTTAAACATAAATCGCTTTCGTTTTTCTTTTTGTTCAATTGGAATTTCGAAAGAAAAAAAAAACCGGTTAGTTAATTTCAGTGTGTTTAGTTTGAATTTCTGAATGAATCATCAGTCCATTCAATTTACTTTGTCGAATTGTTGAATGCATCGTTTGGCTTAAGAGTATATTTGGAAATATTTTTAAAATAAAATGTTCAGCATCAATCTTTCTTTCTTCTTCTCCAAATGCACAGAATTTTTTGTTTGTTTGTTAATATTTCGCTTCGGAAAACAAATTGTCTAATTTTCCCATCGTTGAACGATCGCGCATGTGCTTGGACTGTGGTTGTCGCGTGGTACTCTCCGAATTCGAATCATTTTTTTTTTTACAAACTTGTTCTTGTTCATCATCACATTTTGGTATTGGCATTTTTCGACTTGTTTGTTTATCGAATCGGTTTTTCTTCGCAGAATCGCATACGTTTTGTTTTCTGTATCATTTTTGGTTTTATCGTGAATGAATTAGTGTGTTACGAAATGCACAATTCTCTCAGCGATTTTCATTTTTAATTTTTTTTTTTTTTGGAAGGGAGGAAGTCGGTTTGTTCAGGCTACAACACGTCACACAAATTGCAATTGATGTGACACCAATTATTGTATGTTTACGGTTCGGAAAGACTCGAATTCGCGATATATGGAGTACGCGAGTCTTGTGTTATGTCTTGGTTAGGCAAATGGCATGATTGGGCTGGCGAGGCGTTGTAAACGGAAACGAAAAATGTGTGTCAGGGGGAGCAAAACACGCGCTGAAACAAAGTGGTGCCAGAATGAGTGGTGTATGTGTGTGTGAATGTTCATGTCAGAGCAACTTGTCTCTCGGCTGAAAGTAAGAGAAAAAAAAAGAAGAAGAGAAAAAAAACACAAAGAACTTGGTCCGGAAAGAGAGAGAGAGAGAGAGAGAGAAGAGAAAGAGAGAAAAAGAGCCATATATGAAGAAAGTAAAATTTAAATTTAACGATTTGTTTTTTGTTTTGTTTTTGTTTGTTTGTTCCAAAAATTCGGCTTGGATTCGACATACAAAACAGACAATAAATTTTGCTTTCGTTTTTGTTTGTTTCATCTAGATGGTAAACAAATGAAATGAAAAAAGAAAAACACATTAAAAGCTAAAAAAAATCAATATAGATTAATTTAAAAAAAATGGTTTTTATCCCAAAAAAAAGTTCGATTTGTTTTTTTTTTTTTCATTTAGCTGCTTAGTGAGCGCGCGATTGGGTAGTTGACTGGGGGGAACGTTATGGAACCTGTATGTGTGTGAGTGCAGACCGCGCGGCGTGTGATGGACAATTTGGCTCGAAGGCTCAACAACGACGAAAACTTTACCGTCGACGATGAGACAAAAGCGATGTGTGATAGCGTCGGTAGCATGCCATTTCGTTCGAAGAATATTTGTGTGTATGTGTGTGTGTGTGTGAGATTGTGTTGTTTGGAGATTTCGTTTGGTTTTTGTTTTTAAATTGATTTGAGCATGGGGCTAAACAGGGTAATGGATGTCTGCCGAAAAATACCATATATAAAAAAAAAGAGAATAACAATGCTTTTGATTATGGATCAAATATGTTATATAAAAATGCCCAACATGATGCAAAACTTGTGGGGTTTGCCTGTTTCTTCATCATCATCATCATCATGTTCTTCTTCATCTTCTTCTCATCAGCGAGAATGGTGGATGCAGATGGTGCAACTGATTCGAATCGACCAGAATCGCTGTGCCATTTGTAAAAAAATTTTCTTTCGTTTTTTTTTTCGTATCAAAAGATTCAATTTGTGTAACATTTTGAACAGAAAAAAACAAGATTTCTTTTTTACAAGTAAAATACATTTAAAAAAAAAAACAACAAACAATCGCGGGAAGCACATCATCAATGGATTTTCATTTATCATACCGTGTTCATGAGACTAGTGTATCATTGGGTTTTTGTATTGTAATGTTCTCTACACTCTCGGAATCATTTTCATTTATTTTTTTTCTTGTTATTTGCCGAGTAATGCAATGTGTGTGTGTGTCTGTATGTGGGTTTAATTGCGTGCATGAGATTTGTATTTTTTTTATTCGTTGGCCTACGTAAAAAAAAGAAAGAAAGAAAGAAAGAAAGAAAAGAAAAAGAAAAAAAAATAAGAAAAAACAAAACACCGCCGTACACATCGGGCATATTGGCAAGACAACCGAATCTCCATCGATTAACGGCACATATTTCGATTGAACGATGGGCGCCCACAGTTTCAATTTCGATTTTCTTGTTTTTTGTACAGTTTGTTCTTTTTTTTTTGCGAAAATATGGTTCGGGTTTTTCATTGGAGTTTGAACAACAGTTTTGTTTGGTTGGATTATTTTGAGAAAGAAAAAAACGCTTTTCTTCTTTTTCTATGGTTTTTCATTCTAAAAATGTATATGTTTTTTTTTTTTGGTTACTATTTTGTTCTATGAAATTGCGCTTAAATCATCTGAAACGACAAGCAAAAAAAAGAACACAAACACAAACAAATCCACATTGAGTTATATTCGTCGAATAATCAAATCGCTTAGCAAGAAATAAAAAGAAATTATTTGTATTTTTTTTAAAATCCATTTTAAAAGAAAACAAAAAAAAATTAATCTACTTAAAATATTTTGTAAATATATATTGTATGCAGCCCCAATCTTTACAAATTAAGTACCTTTCAAATTTTTATTTCATTTTTTTTTATTTATTCTTCCCCTTTTTTTCTCTTTGTTCAATAGCTTCATTTAACCGTGAAGAAAACATGGCAATACGCTTCAGTTCAAAAATGATTGTGTAAATGGATTTAGTTGGACAAAAATTGAGATAAAACAGATGGACAGAATGTGTTAGGGGTGTGTGTGTTTGTTTGTTTGTATGGGATTGCGTTGTTAAGATTAGAGAACTTTTTAAAAACAATTTTATGAAGTTTGTAAACTTTTCGAATGGATCAAAGAAAAAATAAAATAAATAAATGGGAAATCATTTCGAATGGAAAGGTCAGTATGGTCTTAAGTATCAACACGTATACACACACACAATGTGAACGCACCGCAAAAATTCAGAGACTCACATTTGACATTGGCCAAATGACGTCAGCTGAGGCTGAATTATTGAACGCATATCGTATTGCCAAGATACATAAGTAAAATTGGAATTCTGTTTGATTCTCTCGAACTTTCATCGTTCTCAAAATATCTTTCACACGAAATGAATGTGATAAAAAACAGGATATTTTGATACAAAATTCAATTGATATGAATCGAGTTTAATGCTGCATGAATCAAATGCAAAAGGGGAAAAAAAAAGTACAATCGATCCATCTTATTTTGAGAATGAAAGAAAGAGAGAGAGAGAGAGAGAGAGAGGAAGAGAATGAAACAATTAGTTAACAAAAATGAATTGGGTCTAATCTGAAATTTACTTGCTGTGTAAAGTCGATGCAACAAACAAAATGTTCGGTTTACAACCGTACAACACATACCTTGCGAGGTTTTCCGTGACTTCTGTGGCGGTGGTGATTGATCGCCATCATTTTCATCGGACGGTGATGGGTGCTTCTTCGACGGATAATCGTCGTCATTGCTTGACAGCAATCGTTCCTTTTTCATTTCCTAAATTAAAAAAAGATTCTGCGATTAGTATGCTCAAACAAAATGAACCGAACCGAACCGAACAGAACAAAACAAGAACGTTTACACGCTTGAAAGCCGCTAATCAAGATAAGCTCAAAGTAACTTCGAGTAAGAGAAAATTATTTGTCTACAGTCAATACAGTGTGGCCTTTGTATCACTAGATTTCACATTTGTTTGAGAATTATTCAACGAGTGAGAAAAATCCACGCACATACACTTTTCAGATTGTCTTGGATGGAGTGAATTTGCATAAAACGATTTTCGGATAAATGTCGAGCGCTTCGGCACAACACTCGATGTGTATGAGTCTCTCTCAACTTTTGTTATTATTTTATTAGGTAAGTCGCCATTTTGGATTTCTTCAGCCGAACTCCGTTCGCACAATATGTATGTATATACGCTCGATTCATATTCATATTCATATCATATATCCATTCTTTTTTCCACTCTGTATTTATCCCATTCAGCGTATGCTTCGTTCTATTCGGTTGTTATTTTCATCTCAAATTAATTAGAATTCGCCTTTTTTCGCTCACTTACCACTTCAATATCACCCTTCATGATTTTCAGTATCAAATCGTCGTCCGATGCCAATAAACGTTTGCTTTAGTAGAGAATCGTTTTCAAACGTGTAAATTAAAAGATGTTTGAACAAAAAAGTAATGGTTATTTTGTTCAGAATAACAAAATTCGCTGTAATCTCACGGTGCAAGCAACTCTGCCCACTTTTTTCACTTTTGACTCTCTCTCTCTCTCCCTCTCTCTGTGTGTGTATGTCGATTGGATGGCTTCAGTTTTGCACTGAGCGTGCGATACAACGACAATTGTGCGTTGTTAGGGTGCGTCACGTTACGTCGCCGTTGACGGCAAATTCCTTTGCAATATCCACGTAAATCACTCGAATAATGATCATTCATGTGAAAAATCCACATTGATTTGTTTCAAAATTGAATCACAGAATTGGAATTTTCGGTGAAAAAAATGTATATTTTTTACAAAAACCAAATTTGATGTTCAAATGGTCAAGCTGTTGGATGGGCGGACATTGACGGATACAAAATGAATGGCTCCAATCGAAGAGAAATTGTGTGAGCAAATCATAAACTATGCTCAGCAGCGCCATTAACAGTGACAGTTTGGTCGATTCGTTTCGAGAAGCCTATTCCAGACTAGTCGTGAATCGGCCGTAAAACGTAACGGCCTTTTCGTAATTCTGGTTGCCATACACTGAAGCTATGAAATTGACATTAGCGTAGCGGTCTACAGGTCTTTTTTTTTGTATTTTCCTTAATTTGTGTGATGACAAATCCACAAAAATAGAGAAACAATTGTTCATACAGCTTTTTTTTGTTTTCTTCATATCGTTTTTGTTGTTTCTTTCTTTTAAAGACGAATCCTTTTATTTAATTAATAATTTTGAAACGAACTGAGATATTTGAAGGAGTACATCGGATATCTGTTGAAAAAGTATGAAATTTGATCGAAAGTAGATTAAATTTCAATTCATTTCATTTTGTTCTCGTCTGTAATGTGTGTTTATTTGGAAATTACGTGAGATTGCAAAACTTATGCAAACGAAACGAATAATAAACGTAGTTTCTTGGTAGAATGCTCGATTTTTATCCAATTTACGACTGAAAATCCGTTTTTGTTTTGTGTTTACTAATGATCGATATTAATTTTTTTTTTCCTTCAGACGACGAATGTTTGTATTTTCTTGTTTGGCTTAGAGACAGTAACAAAGATCGTAGATAGTATCGTAGCTTTGTGAGTTCCGGTTATTCAATTTGAAAACGCTTTTTTTTGGATAAATAACCCAATTTGGGTAAGTATTTCGGTTTGGAAATGTTACTAAATTTTTGTATTTGAGTGAGAATAATAAATTTGGACTTTGTTTCGGTTGATCAGTTGATCGGTATCGATACATTGTCCAATTGGTTTCATCATTTGGACAATACAAATTACAAGTCCAAAAGAAATTTATCCAAGAAAAAAAAAACAATCGCAGAACGTATGATGATTTCCGTTTTGTTAAATCGCTGTCTGTGTGAACTCATTCTCTCTAGATCGATGACGTGATAGTGCATATGTGCAAACATACTGTAGCATTGTGTCAACTGGGTCTCTTTATGCGCGTTGTGATTTTGTGATGAATTCAAAATGCGTGACTCATTTATACATATTTGTATGTATCAACATGGCAAAATAGTTTTTTTTTTTGTATCGTTGCTTTTGTTTTGTGTTCGCTAGTCTTGAGTTGGTATTTGAGAAAATTGAGAGAGATTACATGTTGCGCGCGCGGACATAGTGGCGGTTGGGGCGTTAATCGGCAATGTGACCGTCACTGAACTGGCAACGCCAAATGCAACATTTTATTTATTTCCATTGTCAATCGGCTAAAATCTATGTCAATGTGTTAGCAACGTATGTAGCTCGACGACACAGTACATATATGTGAAACACTACACACTGAAAACGCCTATTTTGCTCGTTGATTATGGATATGTAGCAAAGAAAGTCAATATTATGGACTGTATTTGTGTTTGGAATGTAATGATTATGTTGACATTTATATTTGTTTCTAGTTGTGTCGCGCACGTCGTGCACTTCGTTTCATTTGATAAATAAAAAAGCGCATTAGAGAAATTATCAATAGTACGGGAAATTGTGTGTGTTTTTTTCTCTCCTTCAATCGTTCATGGTATATATATATCACTGAATTAAAAAGAGTACATATGACGTGTCCATCACATTTTTTGTGTGTTATTCCCCGCATTCCATTTGAGTAATCATAATTTTTAATGAGTGTATTATTTATTTATTTATTTATTAATTTTTCCCATTTATCCATAGATCGAAACGTCATTGAGTTGAACGTAGGGGTGACGAAATGACGACGCGAGTGAAGGCATTGTATGATTTTAGCGGTGAACCGAACACGGCGGAGATATCGATTAAGGCCGGTGAAATTTTGATATTGACGCGAACTGATGTGGGCGAAGGATGGTGGGAAGGCACCAAAACAGATGGTCAAACCGGCCTATTTCCCGAGGCCTATGTTGAGATTTACAAAGAGACACAGCCACCAGCAATGGCTCCCCCAATTAATCCGATGATGATACAGCCACAGCAAACATCACAACCGTATCAATGCACACAGCCACCAGCCCAGCAACAGGCACCACGATATGATCAAACGGCTGAAGATGATATGCAAGATGAGTGGGAAGACGATTGGGACGACGATAATGATACGTACAGTGAAGTTGGACCGCCCGCTTCGAATGCAAATAATCGAACAACGCAAAATTACTACCAACAAAATCAGCAATCAAATTATCAGAATTTGCAATTGCCTTCGCCGCCAGCCGATGATAATTCATCGCTACAATCGTATTCGGCATCGAGCAAATTGAAAAAGTCGGGTATGTTCTCGAAATCGGGCGACTCCTATATTCTTGGCACCACAACCATCAGTGTACCCGATCATGAACGCGTCTATATCATACACCAAGACAACGGGTACTTTTACAAGCCGATCCAAAGTCTGTACACCGTACGGGTGGCATCACCTAAAAAGGAAACCAAATTTAAGGGCATCAAAAGTTTTATTGCCTATCAATTGACGCCATCGTTCAACAATATTTCCGTGTCACGGCGGTACAAACATTTCGATTGGTTGCACGAACGTTTAGTGGATAAATTTTGCCTGATCCCAATTCCACCATTGCCAGACAAACAAATATCCGGCCGATATGAAGAGCAGTTTGTTGAGCATCGACGTGTGCAATTACAGGAATTTGTTGATTGGGTATGCCGACACCCGATTCTATCGACCTGTGAAGTATTTATGCATTTCCTTACGTGCACCGATGACAAGAAATGGAAACCGGGCAAACGGCAAGCCGAAAATGATAAATTGGTTGGGCCAGCCTATTGTGCTGCCATATTCCCGCCTGAAAAGCAATTGCTTCAATCACAAGTTGATAGCCAAATTGATAATTGCAATCAATTTGTGCACACAATGGACGGTGCAGTAAATAAATTGCTCATCATATCGAATGAGCAGGCGAAACGCTATCAGGTTCAATGGAAAAAAGATTTTCAACGCATTGGCGAAGGTTTTTCCGAATTGGCTCGAGCATTGGAGATTGATGAGCGACGTGCCATTACAACGATTAATCTATCAAATTCGGTGGGCCAAGCGGCCGGCGTATTTATCGGTATTGGCCAATTGATTGGCGAACAACCAAAGCATGATTTCATCCCATTTGCCGATTGTTTACACATTTATCGTGGCATTTTGGGCGATTTCCCCGATGTGCTCAATGTACACAAAGGCGCCATGAACAAGCGAAAAGAATGCGAACGTTTGACGGCCGAACAAAAAATGGGCAACGCTCAATTGCAAGAGGTCAATCGACGCACTGACATTATGTCCTATGCCGTATTAGCCGAAATGAATCACTTTCGCGAAGAGCGCGATGTACATATGAAAAAAGCGATGAAACATTTCATACAAGAACAAATTAAATTTTATCGAGAAGTTATAACACGCCTAGAGACGGCGCAACGATTCTTCGAATAAACCACCCACCACCTACCCACTACCACCATCAACACCATCTTCGCTCTAAAATGCTTGTGCAAAGTGAAGTTTCATAAGGATGTTTTTTCCCTTCGAATTTCATTTACTTGGAATTTTGAAGATTACAGCTCGAGCATAAGAGGAGAAGAAAAACAAAAACAAATTCTACACTATGATAATCGGATTTATAAGGAATGCTTTTTTAACAATAATTTTAGTTGAAACAGAGAAACAAACAATTCCGTGCTCCAAATCCGTTTCACCAAATGGACGTATCTTTCCGTTTGTGCAGAAGTATATACACATGCAAAATAATATTGGAAAATGTTCCACACAAATAATCGAGTGTATATTTTATTACTATGTAAATCACATATTGATTGCAATAACGATGGAACAACACAAATTGAGGAATAATTTCCCTTCGCCTTGTTTTCTTTTTAAATGAACTCGAAAATTCTGTGAGTAGTTTTACTATTGGTCAAAATGATTGTGTCCGAAAATTTTATTCGAACAGATCGAATGCATTTTAAAACGATATTTTCTATTTTATTTCGCGAATCGTCGGTATTTTGACTCAAAGAAGTCATTTTGTGATTCGATTCTCTCTGTTTTAGATTGTCACTTGAGAAAAAAAAAAAAACAAATTGTATTTTTATAGAAATATTGCAATGTTATCCATCGAATATGTGAGAGTGATTATTTGTTTCCATTGTATTTTCGAGAATTTTTTTGAATTTTAATCGTTTTTTTTTTCTCTCAAACAAAATGTCAATGAAAGGACCATTTCAAGTACAATATGTATGAAAATTGTAAGCATTTTTCAAACTATATTTTTTCATTCCAAAAAAAAATTGTTCATAGAAAAACAAGCAACTAAAATCAAGTGTCGATTGTAAATAGAAACAAATAAGAAACTATTATACTAACACCGAACATTGTTGAATACATACAAATTGGTTTTATGTACACTCTAAATCACCACTAAATGTGTATCTTTTTTTTATTCAAGTGAATGATTTTTCTTTCGTTTCGATTTGTTCTGCGTTTTCTCGGGTAAAATTAACTCGTTTCGCGACACCTAATACGATTATATGAATTCTTCTTGCAACGATAATGTTTATTGGAATATTAGGAAAATTGGCCATGAAAAAATATTTTTCCACTAAATCAAATAAGTTTCTTCAGCAAAAATGTAGCATTTTAGGTAAGTGTAAGGCAAAAATGTAGATCTTTACAACGGTACCAGCACATCTAGGATATCTTCATTCTATGAAAAGTTATGAGCAAAATAATTATCGTGGTTCAACCTACAAACCTCTCCGCTATAAGCTATTCTTTTCTCATTTCACGAAGTATATCTGTAATTTTTTTCATCTCTCCGGTAAGATTTTCTCTCATTTCTCTCATTTTATCGTTAAAAAACCTTGAAAAAATGCTTGAATAAGTCTTTCAGTCCACCTTTGTTTGGTGCATTTGGAGAAGTCCAAAGTGAATGGCAGAGGTATCGAGTTGTAGAACTGTGAATGAAAAATAAATGAGTAAAATATTCTCATATAATTTATACTAAACATACAGATTTTTGTTCACATCATCATACAAATGAATTTCGTCCCCGACAGCCTTTCTTGTTTCCAATGCGAACAGCACTGCCATACCGATACGCAATTGTACTTAATGTTAATAATAACTGTAGGTGCTTCTACAATTATTTTCGAGACACTACAATTAATTCTTGGTTACTTCAATTATTAAAACACGTTTTACAGCAGTTTATAGCAGTTTTATATATAAAACTCCCCTGGAGCCAAAAAAGTTGTTGAAAACATCAAGGATCGGATGACTGATTTGAATTCTACATTTTTTCTACAATTTTATGGAACCTAGCATCAAAAGAGGAAGATTAAGTTTGTGGAAATTTCAATTTGTGGCCAAAATTTGAGTTTTATCAATTTTGGACCAATTTTCATGACTCGTCTCAATATCGAACGAATGGGCTCACATATTCGAAAACAGACAATTGATTTGAATTCTACAATTTATCTACAATTTTTTGGAACCATTCTTCATTCGAAAAAAAATTCGATTTGTGGAAAATACGTTTTTTGACCAAGATTTGAGTTGTTCCATTTTATAGCAGTTTTTCGATAGCCGATTACTCCAAAAAATTGTTCCTTCATAAAAAAAGTAAAAACTGAAATCGCCCTACCCGAAGTCATTTCGGCAAATTTTCCAAGATTTGAATATTCATCTTTTCGCGCACACATTCATCATCGGACCAAGAGAACAAGATTTCCAAATGAAATTTCGAAAAATGATTCATAATGTATATGCAATCACACCACTCTAGCGCGTAAACGGCCGTCTTTTTTCTTCTCGTTTGGATTCTTTGAGATTACAATTCGACAAAAACAAACTAAATAACAATAGATTCTGATAGAAAAAGAAATGGTTTCAAAAAACAAAACGAATGAAAACAATGACTCAATAAAACAAAACAACACGATCCACAAATATTCTGGTTTGGTTAGGAAGAATGAAATTGAAAAAAATGCGGCTTAAATACAGCAAACGCACACACACGCACGCACAAGAAAAAACACTTTCGCATTTCGTTTCGATGTAGAAATTGCATGAGTGTTTTCATTTGTAGTCGCAGCCGTCAAGCTAAGGCGTCACATTATGAACGAACAAAAAAAAATGAAATGGAAAAATGAACAGTATGAAACTATCGAAAAATAAATCCACCATAATTTTTTCACATAATCAATATTTTAATACGTAATTGGTGAAAAAAATGCCACGACCGTATTGTTATCGAAGGTGCACAACAAGTGTGCCATCATTGCCGATATGCTCATCGCATATATAGCATTTGCCATTCTGTACAAATACTGTTTTTGGTTGCGCTAGCTGTTGTTGCTCCACGTATCGAGTCTGTGATGTACGATCTATATATATATATATATGAAGAAAACGACGACAACGTCGTTGACGGCGTCGAAGCGGCAAATCGAAAGAAACCCTCAAGCAACAACGATGATATGACCGACTCTCTTCTATTGCTCACACACTCGAAGCACATTCGAAAATTTTCAAAAAGAAAATTTGTTTTTTTCCTGTGTTGTTTTTGATTCTAGCATAACTGGTCAAGATGTCTTGAATGAATATACTATCATTACTAAACCTACTGAATTTTATGAAATAACTGCCAAATACAAATGACCGATTGTCAAACAGATAGATATTTTTTTTCTTCGTTTCGTTCTGGTTAAAGTTAAAAAATGATCGGGACCGTTCATGCTAGTATTTCGATGGCTGTGTGCACCGCGATAGTCTCGATCATTAAACGTCAAACCACGGCCGTAGCCAGCACAAATTTCTTGGAGCGGAGAGAATTTTTGGGTGAGCGCAGCAAAATTTGATGATTATGAAAATGTCATTAATTTTGAAAATCGATTCTGTCTAGTGTAAAAGCCACAAATAATCAAATAATGTATAAAATGTGATTTTATAGAGATCCCAGCCCCTTGGAACTTTATTCCTTTTATTCCAAAAACGCTTCATTCACAGATTCACACTATATCACGGTGAAACACGTGATTTGTAATTTCTAGCGAATCGTCAGGATTCTTAATCCCATCATATTCAAAGCGTATGGCTGAATACGGCCGTGGTGGTGAAATAATAATTATTATTTGAATTTTAAATAAATAAAAATGTTTCGATTCTGCCAAATAAAATTGTGCAAATATGCCGCTGGCACACAAGACAAAAAAATTGCTTTCTTTCGGTAGATTAAACCCGTATTTAAAAAAAAATGTTTTTCTTCCATTTTCAATTGAGTTGTATGAGAGAAAATTACGGTTTCATATGATATATTGGAGTTTCCATAATTTAAAAAAAAAACACACAAAATGTTAGATTCAAAATAGAAACTGGTTCGTGGCAGAATTGTTTTTTTGATTTTGCGTACCATACTGAGGAAATGCTTGTGTTCGAACAGAAAACTACACTGAAACAGGGCTGGAATTCTAAGTCATTCCACCAAAATCGTTACTATTTTTTTAGTATACTGACATCGACTGTTCAAGATACAGCAGAGACGGGTCGAATATATGGATACGGTCAAAGATACGGATCGAAGATTGCACCACAGCAGGCAGAACTCAGCGTACACACTGCCGTCTTTCCGCTGTCTTTTTCACCATATAATTGAAGGGTGTTTTTTTTATTCACAGACATCCACTCAGGTCCATTCCAACATAGAACTCGATGATGACGATGATGGTTTTGCTCGATCACTTTTTAAAAAGTAATGGCGCCACTTACACACGCTTTATTCAAATATGATTTTGTTTATTCAAACAAGAAATTCAAAGAAAATTCTTGCGATTTTGTGTGTTTTTTTCGCCTTCGTTCATCGTTGGAAAATACAAAACGACCGGATTTTTCTCCTTTTATTTCTTGAAAAGAAAAGACACAACTCAAACACTTGTTCTTCTTTGGCCATTCAACAATTGCAAATTAAAAACAAATAAAGAAAACACAATTAATGAAGAAAACAAACAAACAAATGGAATGATTTTTTTCTTTCGTTCGTGGAGATTTCATCCATCGAATTCACTAAACATGGAATTTTATGTGATAGAAAAATTGAAAACATAGACATATAGAGAGAAGTTACGGTCGTAAAGCTATAATATTCCAAATTCGAAATTATACGTTTCAGATTGATGATTAATCAATTAATCATGTGGATTTTGATCGCCTGCGTACATTGCAATCATTTCTCCGGAAGCCTTCGCACTGAGAACAGACATGTGCTTCCAAATGTGCTTCATTGATGAATAAACATGTGCTTCATATCGAAGGTGAGTTTCAGTGATCACAATAAAGTGGAATCTCATCAACAATCACTCGCTTTTTATTTGCCAAATGTTTTAATTTTTGAAAGCCGAATAAATCAAGATGCACGCATTGATCAACAAAACTGTTTTTGTTTTTTTTTCGGATTTTAGCGAACGATTTGTGTCATATGCATGATTAAAGCCACTGAAATGTTGACCCGTTTAAATTAATTTAACATTCCGCCAATATCGGCTCGCTCATCATTATATTGGGCCTCTGAAGCACTTTCAACAAATTTTCTCAATTGTTATCTGAATCCAATCATATAGCAGCATTGAACTATTGTGGAAATCAACCACATTTCGAAACCACCCGATGCGTTGTGATTTCGTTCAACGATTTCCAACATTTAACGTACATAAATTTCGATAATTTTCAATTTATGTTAAAACAAATCCAACGCTTTTGTTTTCGGACAAAAAATGAAGGTTTTCAATGGAACATGAATTTTGTTATGGTCTTAGATAATGAACATTAAATTATGTTTTTTTTTTTAAACAAAAAACACTTTTCTTCCTGGCATTTCCAAATTTCCGCATGAGAAAATGACATATTATCAAATTGCTGCGTTAATTATTTGGCATTTTTGGTGGCGTTGCCATTTCACTTTGCACACAGCAATTAATAATCGTCTTTGTTCACGAATCTGTATACGATGTGAATAAGGTCAAGTGTGTGACAAATTGCATCGGATATTTTGCGTTTTTTGACTTGATCATGTGAACTTTAACTTTGTTGGCCTCATTTCCACCAGCGCATCGCTTTGCATACATATCAATTAATTTGTAGTTTCTGTGTATATGGTGACGGGCACCTGTTAAATTCGGATGAATTTCATCACAGACTTAGGAAGCCATTAATGACGCATACTGTATACAATTGAATGGCTTTGTGATCGAGCTGCGACAACAGAAAAATGGATTATTCAAATTTTATACCCAAAAAGTGAAACCTTAATATATACACATCATTTATTATTATTTTTTCCTCTCTTTTTCCGCTTTATTCTGCATACTTTCTGTCTCCTCCTCAATGCATTTTAATCAATTTGGTGGACGACAACAGCATTTCCATTTTACTTCAACGTCCGAAAATGGCAAAAGCGATCGGAAATCGATAAAACACATCCAAATCAAACGCTAACATTAAGCAAACACGATAATAAATAATTTTAATAACGGAATAGCTTAATTTATTCCGAAATAAAGTGAAATAAAAGCAAATTGGAAGCGACCACTCAAAAAAATACCTTGCACATTACTTTCTTCTTTCACGCTGTGATGCGTTATTGACAACGCGGCGAGTTGATTTCGTTTTCTTCTTTCGTTTGCGTTTTTTTCTTTGGTGGCCATTGGCTAGAAAATAAAAATCAACATCGGATATGGATATGTCGGGTGCCGGATGAATGACAATGAACTGAGCTAATCGGAAATGACAAACGAGGGAAAAAAAACAAACATCGACAGCACACGCTTTTAAAACGCATAACAATTGACTGGGTTTGATCGACACATGTGTGCGAGTGAGAAATGTATGATGGTCAAATCACATTATGGTTGATCGTCGATCTATTAGCCGGATCAAACATTGACGATTTTCTGAATGAATCTTATTTCTTTGTCGTTGTTGTTGTTGCTGCTTTTGGTTCGTTTTGTTTGTTTGATGTCGTCGTCGTCGTGATGATTTTTGCGATTATTTCCGTTGTTTTATACGAGCACATACATCGAATACGCTGTTAATTATGGTATGCGGCTAATGAAATCATCATTTCTTCGGGTATGTGTTGGCCCCTATCTTGACCATATTTATTTCACATGCCGAACTATCGGATCGGAATGTGTACCTGTTGGCGATTTTCTACGATTATTGTGTGTGCTTTTTTCTCCTCTTCTTCTTCTTATTGTGGCTTTGCGTGGCCATATACTCGGTAATGATTTTGCCATCGGGCTATAGCATTATCGAATATCAATGCAATCAAATTAATGCTTAAATTATGTGCTCGCCGGCGACAATACCTGTCTATGTAATGCGTAAGTGATGTATGGCACATGCCTACATGAACTTCATTATTACATCCGATCGAGAGAGAAAAACACACACTATTACGCATTCGACAACAACAATAGCACCAGCACCAATGAAACAAATGCGCTTGGAATTTTAAGCGTGCACTTAAAGCCCATAATATCAGGCTATTGTTGGGCAGCTTTAAAAGTGAAATTTTCAATCGATCCGATACTATCATTAGATAATCTAAATTCCAACTCATTTGTAACAGGAACCATTTTTTTCTTTCAAACCAACTATTTTTATGTAGATTTGATGAAGTCGCTAGATCTTTCTCTTTATTTTAAATTTTTTGTTTCTCATTCCGACGAAAAATGCGTCAACGGTGTGAAAAGCAATGGTTTTTTTTTCATCAAAATATGAAATTTAAATTATAATCATATTCAGAGGTCGATGTGAATACACTCCTTATTTCAGGCTTCATAAACAAATATGTCTGATTGGTTGGCTGTTGCATACAAGTTGTCTTTCGTCAAACAACATCGCCAATATCGCACACACACATTCTCTCTCTTATCAACATCGACCACCGCGCACATTTCATTCTCCTTTCTTTTTATTTCCATAATAATTTCCATAAATCGCCTTATCAAGTGAGAGTGTGTGACAGAGATCAGATGCACGCAACGATGAAACCGAAAATAAAAAAAATAATAAGAGGAAAAGAAATGATTTTGGTTGTTTTATTTCTTTTCGTATCGGACTGGACAATAGATTCCGAGTTTAACCGGTCGGTCGTCACTTTGTGTACAATTATAATTATGTATGCAAAAAAGAAAACCCCGAAAAAATTTATTTAAATTTGTTTTTCTTCTTTATCCATACCGAGTTAACCGGCCCGAGAAAAGAACGGCGTAATGAAATCAACACACACACATCTCGTTGTTCACGTAGAAAGAGAAAAAAAACGATATTTATTAATTGCCTTCACATAACCGGCATGTGCGCGCATTTCCTTCATTTTCCGTCAAAGCCAGACTGCACTTTGAATGGGATGTGTAATGTGTATGGTTACCGCATAAATTTCAACTGTGCGAGAATCGCTTAAACTTGTCCAATAGCTGTCGATTATTTTGATTGGATTTTGATGCACCTCGCCAAATCCAGTGGTTATCTCTCGTTTGAATTAATCTTTAATAATCTAGCATAGCCAACCATTTTCACCACTATTCTCCCCATCGTAAACACCAATTCGGATAGAAAAAAAATAGTATACGTGCCAAAATTCTTATGTCCAACTCATTAGCCAGTCCAGTTCAATCCAATCTGTTTAAATAATTGCCGCCACATTTACGTTCACTTTTTCTCTGTTGTTCGACAAATTATATAAAAGAAAAAATAAAACAAAAAAATACCATATCGACACACAATGTTGACACTACTGCCTATAATTTTCTTTGGACTTTCTTGAAGAGAACAAACCGATGACGAAATCAGCAGAGAAGCAAAATGAATTCATGTTTATTGTTCACATTGTTGAACAACACCATGTTCGTTGCACGTAGGTCGAACGGGCTTAAGTGGATGGTGCTCGCGACCTAGCGTGAGATATTGATCATTGAGTATTATATGAAAGAAAACATGAAACAAGTTCAAAATCTTTATCGTTACCAGTTCATTCGATTTGCTACAGAAAAACATAGCCAAAGTGTGCGAACGGTCGCTCATATCAGAGCCCCATAGATGATGCCAAAGCTAAATGTGAATACGGCGGCACGTCGAGAGTATAGCATCAGACCCATAATCGAACAACTTTGTGCTGCTGCTGCTGCTTCTGCAGCCATTGCGATAGCTGCCGCTTTTTTTCTCTTTTTCCTCATTTTGGTACTTTTCCTCTCTTTTCGTCGTCATCAGTGTATTCGTCGGCGCGCTTTGTTTTTTGGTGGTACAGCTGGATGAGATGAAGAGCACGCGACATTTCGTATATAAAGATGCTGTTTGGCAATCTCAAGACATTACTCGTGAATTCGTTTTCGGTGAAAAGACAAGTGCTCCGTGTGCGCGCATCATTTTTGTGCAACAAAACAGCCCAAAACAGGATTACAACGAATCTTCCAAGTGGATTAACTAAATAAATATTTTAAATTTTTTCAAAATGAACAAATTCAGTGTGGTAAGTGTCCAAGGCAGTTAAACCGAACCAAAAATATCAAGTCAAACTTTTTTTTATTTCAATTGTCAAACATTCAACGTGGTGATCGTTTTAAGTGTGATAAGAATTTGATTCAACTGGTGCCGTTTTGACGAAAATAACATAATGAAATGGCCGATCTTTTGATTGATTGCAATTGCATCTTCAGTTTAGATCATAACATCAGTGAACGCTTTTCAAGCTAAATGGATCGATTGAACCGACCGCCATAACGGTCGTCGATTGATTTTTTGTTTATTCTGATTGATGATTTCACACGTGTTTTCTCCCCAGGAAATTTATTTGGCCAAATTTTCAAATTTTCTTGTTTTCTACGAAAAGAAAAACATGAGCAAAGACTTAGTTTCGAGATATCGAAATTTGTCGTTCAACAAATATATTCGTGCCGATAAGAATCAGTTTTCATTTCACTTCCCGCTTTCATTGTCTTTGTTGTATGTCCCCAGCAGCATCACAAATTTCAACGGAAACGCCCGTTTTTCACTTTACCCGGGGAAAAAGCCACCGGGTTTTGATTCAATTACATCACGTTATCTTTAAAAAATTTGGGACGCTTTTTCGATTGACAATTGAAATAATAATCTAAATTTAATTGATGTGTCAGCAAGCCGTGCTTGTAATGAATACCATGAGATTGATTCACATTGCCAAAAATTATTTACACTTCATTTTTCGACAGTCGGCTGCAGTTTTTTTTTTAAATCTTCTCCTGTATACTCGTTTTTCTTCTTTCCCGATGAAAGCAAAAAAAAAAAACAGAAGAAGAAAAAAATAGAAAACAAATGGAGGCTCAAGCAATTGAAATATGCCTGCAATACAAAAAACAGAAGATTTCCGCACAAATATTTGAATGACAACGTAATGTGAATCAAGTAATCATTAAACAATTGTAATGTGAAGTAAGTCATAATGTTTGCAAAAGTTCAAACGAAAGCAAATTCATTCATTGAATGTGTTCAAAGGGATGCTCGTTGTTCTTATATTCGATAAAAGCGCGTTAAATGGTTTCGTAATCTCTTTCTGTCGGTTTTTCTTCGTTAATTAGTCTTTCGATATTGCTGTTTGCGTTCGTTCGTGCGTTCGCTCGCTTACTCTCTTCGCATCTCCACTTTGAAACGCATTCGCGTTTTTTTATGCACTGAATTCGGTGGATATCGGAATAATGTCCATGAATCATTTTCAGTGTTGGGAGAAAGGAATTGGCTTCGCAAATGCACTTCTGTGTATGCTTTGGATCAATATTATTTGCTAATTTAAAGACATTCAACGATATAAACTAATTGATCGGCAGCACGATAATTCGCTGCAATCGGAAGAAAACATTATGCCTTATATAATGGCATAACGGGCACGCGCATAAGAAACGAAGAAGAAAAAAGCAGCAACAAACATACAACCGATTGAACGCGGTCGGATGGAAGTAGATAATTAATCAAATTGATCGTTCTGATGTCACCATAAATAAGGAGATTATGAGTGTGCACAGCGGGCGATAATTGAAACTGAAAAAACAAAAAACAAAAACGAAGGATAATTTGTGCGAACGAATATCTGGCGGCAATATGACCAATAGTCACTTTCACTGTAAGCACATTGCAATGTGCTGAAACGTATATCAATCGATCGCGCACGAAAGTGCAGAGAAAAAAAGTGAAATGAGACACGTAAACTCACCATTAAGCCATTCTGCACAATCATTCTGGACGAAGGCAACGGCCAACTGAATATCCAATTTGTTGTTGTTCGATGATGACAATACGTTAAATGGTGCACAAAGAGAGATTGTATTGTATAAAATGTAGATGAGCTAAAATGAGGAATTTGACATGGATTTTGTTTCAAATTCAATTTTGGTGAATTGGTGAATTGATGAGATTGAGAATATAAATCATGCATGGGCTAAAATCAATTCGAGATTTCACCCAACATCGAAAAATCAATCGAATCGCTGGAATGACTTGAACTCGACGCGTCAGCTTTTTTGATGGGCACCGTTTTTTTTTCTCTGTATTTCTTGCCATGATCAATCAAACATACTTTATTACATCATTAAATGTGAAAGAGACATGGAAGAAATGGAGAAAGAAATTTCGTGTTGGTACTTTTTTCTTTCTCTCCCTCTCTCTCTCTCTCTCTCTCTCTCTCTCATCTAAACATTTGCCCACGGTGTCAGTCAAAAATCACCAAATCGTAACGAAATTTTTTTTTAGCTCAGAAATCAAAGTGTGTGTTTTTTGCCCTCTCCTTCTTTTTTTCCAAACAACGGAAATCTCAGTGTGACTAGTAATAGTTCTGAAAAAAAAATGAAAACCACACACTTCCTAAGCATTGAAACACTGATGGCTTACATCTTTAATTTCATTTAGATGGATAATAAGCATTACCGATGGTGACGTGATTGTGGCTTGTCTTTCATTTCTGCTTACACGACGATAGCACGAATTCAATTTCTTCCTTTTGATTTGTCACGGAAAACACGAAACGAACTGACTGTCGACGGATTATTATATAAATTCACAAATTATGAGACACGATGATGACTCGAGTTCGCGTCTCAATTTCGCTCAATCTCTATCGCCGCGCTATTACAATGATTATGATCATAAATATACATACAATTATGCTTAATTTCATTTGTTCAAAGTGGTTTTCGTTTCACTCCTGTTTGTGTGGTGTCAATTTTAAGCGCGGTCGTTCGCGCGCTTGAGTGATTCAGCTGTCTTGCTTCTTTCACGATCATTGCTTCATCAATTTTATTTGCATCGCATTTTTTCGTATAAACAAACCCGCAAACAAAAAATGACAAACCAAACGAAGATTATGCGTATTAAATTCATATGTGAATTTTGAATGGAATTAATTGAATGAGCATATAACAACAACAGCAACAACAACACAAGGGAATCACTAACAAAGTTCCGACGAAAGTGAATTTGGTGAGAAATACGGTAAACGTTGTAAGTGTACAGATTGGTTCCGTTTCTGTTCGTTCACCATATGCACGAAAGACAAAGAGGAGAAGATAACAAGCGATAAAAATCGAATGCCACAAAGAAAGGAGAAAAACAAAACATTCAAAAACAAAAACAAAAACTGTTCCAACAGGTAGAGTGAAATGCTGCTGGCACTGCTATCAAAGGTAATCGATTTCGATGGCATCTACGTGAACGCGGACACAAACACACAAAAATTCGCATAAAAGAGAATGGCACCAGAAAAATACATATTGTGTTTTTAAATATGTATAAAGTATTTATATTAGTGACAATAAAATGCGAACACATCACATTTATATTGAGGGAAGAAAGCAGCAGCACACTCGCCGCAAAGCACCAGACGAAAGAAAGGCGCTCTTGGAAAGGCGAGAGGCCAAAATGAATAATGCAATGCAGCATCACACGAAGCATCGAATCAAATGAGCATTAAAAATACAGAAAAAAAAACAACACAAAATCCCGTTATAAAGACAAAAATGAAGTGGCTGCTGCTACTTCTTCTGTTGCTTCGTAGCCCAGTCGTGATCATCACAAAAAACGCATATTCAATGCAAATTAATAGGCAATGAAAGAGAAATCTTCCGTTTTCAACTAAGTCGTCTTCATTTTTATCTGTTTTGAATTGTTGCCATTTGTGTGTGCAGCGTGCACTGAAGCCCATATAAAACTGTGCGACAGCAGCACCAGAAACGGCAGCGGCGGCAAAAGTGCACATCGTGTGCTAATGTGCAATGGCAAAAGGTGGTATTTTGATGATGACTATCCGATACGGGTGTTGTACTCAGGGCACAAGCCATTAGTCACAATGTTGCTCAGTTTCATGGTAAATATCATATAGTCGGTGGAGGCATGTCATGCCGTGTACCGCAACAAACGAAATTCAAGTTTGAGGTCATCATTAGAGCTCTTCGATTCTCCATCGCCTTCAAATACCATTTGTTGTTGTCGGTGTTGCCCCGTTGAATTGGGACTGCCTAGAGTGCTGCTGCTGCATCTTTTTTCCTTTCGCAAATCATTTGTAAAGTAAATTTGAGCAAAATATAGTGTTTATAATCGCACGATGAAAACGAAATACTGAACCTTGATCGCATAACATTTTGGAAGCAACAATTGCTCAGTTTGTAATTTGTTTGCTACGATCTTCGTTCTCTCTGCACCATTTGTAGACTATATGCATCGAAATTATTCGCACACACGAAAAACAAAATAAATTTCAACGATGGCAACCAAACCGGTTTCGGTTCACAGAAGAAACGAAAGGGAAAGCCTTTCGTTTTTTTTTTCTTCTCTCCATGAATGTTTGAAATGCGATTCCAATCGGTCTTTTCATCGCACGAAAAAAAAAATAAAATAAAACGTATCATTTTAATTCGCGGATTTTATGAAAGTTTCACCAACTCAAGTGGTTCTTTTGTTTTTTTTTTCTGTCTTTTTGTATAGATTTTGTCACTTGTTTGCGTCACTTTGACATTGGCCGAACCACCAAGCAATTCATATGGACCACCACCGCCAAGCAGCTCCTATGGTGCGCCTAACGTGGGATTGTCAGCCGGTCATGGAAGCGGGTATCAAGCCGTTGGCAGTGGATATCAAGAGAGCGAAGGTGCCAATTTGGATCCACAACTCTTGCACAAAATCGAAGAAATTTTGTTAGACGAAGAAAACCATAAGAGTAGCCGTGAGTGTATTCTAGTTTTGATTGAAAAGTTTAAATTGTTCTCTGGTTGATCGATCACAACTAAAGTTATTTCAATTTTTTTGTTGTCGACCTTCTTTCTAGGTGGTGGTTCATTGTCCAGCAGTTACGGGCCACCATCCAGCAGTTACGGGCCACCACCTTCCGGACAACACGAGCATGTTGTTGGTACGTACATGCATTGCCAATTAAATTTGCGATTCTAATTACAAAACCATGGATGCAAAAACGATCACATTGACTTTGACCTTGCTCATCAATTCACATTTGTGCAATACAACAATTTATAGCAGCAATAAATACTCAGTCAACAGTGAATGAACACATTTGTTATGCACAAAATGTCACAGTTGGCAGCAGTTAATGTGCCATGTGGGTCACGGCTCATTTTTATGATCGTTTTGTGTTGATAGAAATTTGTGAAAAATTGAATAGCACTTCGAATCGAACGATTTTCAAAATCAACATAATTGTTTCATGGTTTTAGGCATTAAACTTGGTCACATAACTCAAGGACTGCAAGTTGCTCAATTCCACCAATCCGCACATGCCCCATCAAGTAGTTATGGTGAGTTATTGCAATTAGTATATTTCGATTAACATTCATAGTAGATCAAACATAAGCGGCAAAAACAAATGGTGTCGTCGCAATGAATCACGAATATAATAATTTCTAATTTTTTTTCCTACCTATTCCAGCTGTCCCATCGTCCTCATATGGCCCACCACCAACTCAGTCATACTCAGTCCCATCGTCTTCATATTCTGTTCCATCCTCATCGTACTCAGCCCCATCATTCCATGCTCCAGGTGAGATATTTTTCTGTTAAAATTATTTAGTTATTAGCTGAGACAAGATTCTGATTTATTCATGCATTTCTAACATTTTTCGTTTATTCCAGCTGTCCCATCATCATCGTATGGCCTTCCAAGCTTATCAACCTCATATGCAGCTCCATCAACCAGTTTCTCGGCTCCAATCTCAGGTAAGTGATGCAATCCAAAGGATGTTTCACAGGGAATATCATGGAAATGGCCCATTTCACGGGCTTATGTTTTATGCACTAGATTTAACTATTTTCTTGAGTAGAAAATCTATTAATTTAGTTTAAATTTCCCTCAAGTAAGCTAGGACACTCTCCAATAAATTGCCCTTTTCCAGAGTTGTCAGAAAAATATCCTAATTTTCAGAAATCAAAGCGTTGGATGACCAAACTCGCTGTTTCGATTTTGAAATTTTTATGTTTTCGAGTCTCGATTTCGAAAAGTAGCTTTTTGAGCATTTTTAAACCATATGTCATTGCAAATTCGAATTTCCAATTCAGTGTATGTCCTCATTTATCATTTGAAAACATGAAACCCAGCAAGGTTTTCAGCATTATCTCTAGAACTTATTCGTTTGAGTGAATGTGTAATTTTTGCGATGGTATTTGAAGATTTGAATGCGTTGTCTTCGGGAACAACTCTTCATAGCAAAAAATGGCAATGATCAATTGAAAAGAAATCGACTTTTAATCAAGTTTCGAAGAATAAAACAATTGACTCAATTCGAAGAGCAATAATCAATGTAATTTTTTTGTTCAACAGTGCCATCATCATATCAATCACATGGTGGAGCAAGCTTGTCAAACACATACTCAGCTCCAGCCATTCCGTCCCTAAGCTACGGAGCCCCAGCTCGTGGTAAGTCATATTTTCAATTTAATTCGAACTACAAAAAGCACATTGTCTGGCGAAGAGTGCTTCATCGAAAACAGAGATATGATCAATTTCTTTCTTGTATTTTTTTTTCAGCCCCTGCATCCACCTATGGTGCACCGGCACCAAGCTTCTTGCCATCATCAACATTCTCATCATACACCACCTCATCAAATTTCCTGGCGCCACCACCTTTGCCATCGACATCATATTCCGCGCCACGCCGTCCAGCTGCCGTGTACGGTGCCCCTAGCCAACAAACCATTTACATCATTCAACCAAGAACACCCACCTCATCATATTTGCCACCAAATTCATATCTACCACCTCGTCATCACTAAACACCATTCATCACCTCACCTCGCCACAATTTAGAGCGTTTAGAGAAAATACAATTTAAGTAAATTCCTCTTCAGCTAACGTACAAACAAAATTCCTGTGCGAGTTACAAAACAGAAAAACAAAGCTCATGGCTAAATTAACAAGAAAATTCTTTATTTATTTTGTTTCATCGAAAACCTTTGTTTTAAAAATAATAAGTTAAACGACCAATATTGTGTGGGCACAACCAAAAAAAAAAATTGCTGTGTCTCCGTTGCATTCTAGGTAATTAAAGTCAATCACATTTTGTATATAAAATTATTCAAAATCGACGAAAATAAAAGATTGAAAACAACAATAACAAATCGAATTTATCTCGGTGAAAATGGTTGGCTATTGAAATAGGTTCTTAAATATGGATTTTCTTCAGTCGGACACAAAAACTCCTTGAATAACGGCTTAAGACCTATTGTTTTCAAGCCCGTTGGCTGAAGCATGTTATTCCAAAGACCTGCAGCAGAGACAGCATGTCCCTTCTGACTTAAATGAATGCAATCCACCGACATTATTGTCATATCTGGCTTCTTAACATGATCCAAAAATACTGAGGCATCCTTGAAAAATGGCTGATAAACAACTGTAAAGTCCTTTGTATGAAATTCATCTCGATAGCTCACTCGTTCCATGATTTTCACAAAATTTCGTTCCAGCCGACGATATAAATTGCGTGCCTTTGAGTATGCTGGTCCAAAGAGGCAGGAGCATTCGATTGGTCGGCTCAGATGACACTGCCATGGAACTTGAACACGATCCATCGAAAAAGATAAACTCACCAGCGGTGATGGCACCAGATTCACAAACGTTCTACCAATTAATAGAAAACATCAACTTTGAATTGATTTTAAATCGCAAACTACACTTACCTTGGCATATTGTCACGAAGATAGCGCAACGTTTTTATCAAGTATTTTTCTTGACTCCGATTTATCCATTGCGTAGCGTTTGTTTGATAGCAAACATCTGAACAAAAATCATTACCACCAATCATAAATGTTAAAAGTTTCCAATGACTCGTCATGTTTACACTGTGTGAAATAAAGTGAATCCACTTTGATGAAAGTTTCAAAGTTTGTTGAATAAATTTTGTTGATATTTACCGTCGATCTAATTTCATGCGATGCAACAACTTTTCCGCATTGTACGGCATATCACTTGTGGTTGCAATATTCTCAGCAACATTGAATTGAGCCGAACGGTGCACATTGTATGAGTCTTGTAGCGAATATCTGTAAGTAATTTTCGAGTGTATTTAATAAAGTTCAAAACAATTTGTCTAATTTGTGTCAACAATCTTTCAATACAGTTTCACTATGTGAAACCTATTTTACTTATCAACACCACTTATATTAGCACATTTCTTGAAACATTTCGTTTCTAAACTTACCCAAACAAACGCGGATTGAACTCCTTTAGAATGTTTGGCAGCGTCAGATGCGTACGGAATGTTCCTTGACCTTTAGTTAGGGTTAGAGAAAATTTTGATATTCAGTAAAAAGAAATATCGAACGAAAATTAATTTATTGACCATTTCAAGGGCTCAAAATGTTATTTCTTTGAAATGGATCTTGTGTGTTAAAAATCGATAAAAATATGTCAACATTGAGTGACCCAATAACATATAATTGGTGGAAAACAGCTTAGAAATATTAAATTGTTAACATTTTTCCGTTGTTCTTAAAAGATTGAGTTCATGAGGTGCCATATCGTTTCAACAAACCTCCAATGCACCACGATAAACCGCGATTTTCCACAAGCACTTCCCACAAAGCGGCTGAATTTGCTGCTGTAGCACTGGTCAATGAATCGCCAACAGCAGCCACAATATCAATATCACCTAAGAATAAGTGTATCCAATTATTTTTCAGTCTTTTTTGTTCAATTTTCAAATGATTTTGCGGTTTTTCAGCCCAACCTGGTCTCAGTTCATGTACACTTTCTGGTACAGTTCTGCTTCGAAATCCGCTTGTTTTGCATGGAAACGGAATGTTGTTTGGTATGCGATTTTGAAGGAATTTCCCAGTTTGTCGTTGGCCAGTTCCACCTAACACACTTTGCACACGGAAAATTCAATGAGAATACATGTCACTTGAGATGGACATTTGTTGAGTATGACAAATTTTATGAAGCATTTATTGCACACGCCACACGTTATACGTACTTATTATACACATCTCGAATCATGCGATAAAATTGTCGAATTCGAACGGACGCATCCAAATGGCTGGTCACTATATCATCATCATATGAATGCGTACGAGTTAAATTTGTGATAACGCTGCCGCGTATTCGATTAATTCGATTTGATCCAGTTCGTTGACTAGAGCACACATTATTCGAAATTAAATACGAAATACAAATAAATAAAACTAACCGACTTTTGTCCATAGTTTAATGTCCAACTTTAAAATTGCCACTATCGCGATATCAGTCCGGCATCGACTAGTTAAATTCAATGCTTCAAATCATACTGAAAGTAAAAATCAATTATCAAACCACATCGATGGCGATTTAATTACAGTCAACCAGACAACCTGATTCACGTGAAAAAGTGATAGAAATTTTAATAAAAATTACAAGAAGAAAGGAACTGCAACACCCATTTTTTAAGCGAGTACGCATATGTAATTCCATTGTTACCGAGTGAATAACATCGATTATTATACATATCGACGAGACTGACGCAATAACATCAGTACGCGTAACACATACTGCGACTGTTAAATAAACGCAACCATACGGTTGATTCAATGCGGAATTTAAAAAAAAGAGTCACAAAAGTGATATCACTACTCGCAACTGAACTTACGTTACGCCAAGTTCATGCCATGAATGTCTAATCCGGTTGTCAAACGATTTTCAAGTAAATTGTATAAAGTCAGAGAGAGCCCGTGTGTTAAACAAATTCAATTACATTTATTTTCTAGAGATTTTATTAAGCTTAATAACTAAAAAAAAAGAATTAATATGATCGGGTTATAATATCGGTCTGAAAACTATTAAATTGGATTTTTAAATACGAGTTTCCCTCAGTCGAACTTTTTTTTTATCATAACAACATTGCCATATAGGTTCATGCTCGAATATGATCAAAACTCCTCATCGGGAAGACACTCACAAATTCGCCTTCCATTTAACAATTTTTCTGATCACATATGACGTCGTAGCTCCCTTCACAGCCAGAAAACCAAAGACAGCAAAAGTTACTCATATCAAATCTTGAAGTCATTTTCAGTGGTGTGTTACTATGAAACAAGATCAAATATCAAAATTCCGTCAGGCGGGATCGAAAGCAATTGCAATTACCTTCAAATTGAGGTATTTATCATTCTAATAGCCCCAACCAATTTCAAGAACGGTACATTGATATATACCTAGGCTTCCGAAACCACCTTACTCAAAAAGTATACTACTGTATGGAAGAAAGTGGTTTTTTTTCTACATTTTTCGAATTTTTGAGGCCAACTTTCGAATACCGATCGGTGGTTTTGAAAATCTCTGAAAAAAAAAATTTGGTCAAGTTTCTTGTGTCATGTGTGAATAACCGTTCAAAGATGCAATATTCAAACATTTTTTGTGAAAATGTTTAGTACCCATGGAAAAAAATGTTTGAAATTTCGAAGAAAAAAAATCATGTCACTTTGATTTTTGTGTCAAGTGAATGTTTTGTTTTCATGTCAGTTCGAATCGTCAACTGATGATGGAAGCATTGATTCCGAATTGTATAGATATGATCAATTTCTTAATGACGTGTATTATCTGATGAAACCAAAAATTATTCATCTAGATATGAATTAATTTTTACGGTCTAACTCATCAACAAACAAGGATATCGAAAGCTCCTCTGGACCAATCAAAGAAATTATCCTGAGTATTAACAGACTTGGCGAGCAATTCTGTTCATCGATCATCGTTGGTCGTTGCCGCTGCCATTTTATCCAGTAGACAAGTAAATTAACATCATCTCAATGACAGCATACCTCATTCTCGTCACCATAAATAAATAAATAAATGCAATGTTTCGCATCCCGATATTCTATAATCCATATTATTTTTTATTCAATTTAAATGTAAAAAATACAGAAAATTTGTTTGAATTTTTTTTAATTTAATTAGTTTTAATAAATATTAAATAGTTTTTTTTCAAATTATGATTCGGTTTGTTCGTTAAGGTTGATGCTTAAGAGTTTGGTGGCGCCTTCGATGCAACCAGTTTGACTGACACTGTTCAGATCATATGGATCGAAATCAAATGAACCCAGATTTTCATATAGCTGAAAGAAAAATATGTATTTAAGAAAAGGTAAGCATTTGTTTTGTTGACGGAATAAAAATGGAATTATGAGTGTAATGAATGGCTTACGTTGTCAACGAAATCATTTTCAAGATCTCGTGTGCGTGACCAGAGTGTTGCATGTTGCGAAAATTGCACGTCACCATCATTTATTTCTTTGTCACAGTTTGAAATGACAGCGTAAGATTCATAGTCCGTTGAAATAACGGTGAAATTTGATTCGATAATTTGACCACCTAGAAAGAATTTCATTAATTTTCATTAAATAAGATTCCACTACCGACACCTAAACTTCAATCTGACGTGTTTTTCAAATTTTACCCGACAAATTCGGTGGATTGTAACTCATTTTAGCTGCTTCTTCTAGCACATCCAAATAATTCGTCGAGTGTGTTTCATACTTGGCTGGTTTTTCATCAACAAAACCCGTGTACAATTCAAATTGTGTATTCACAACAAATCGACTCGTTTCGTTGCTGTGCGTCACCGTATAGAATTCACAAGATGGGTATTCATGTTGGTCTTGTTCCTCCGTCGGTTCTTGATCGGGTTGCACTTGATACCAAACACCTAAAAACTATTCAGATTCTTGAAATGAAACTGTTCAAATTTTCGAATTTTATTCGAAAATAGGTGAAAAACATATACTCGCTCCATGTCGAATTCAGACATCGGTGTTACTGCAGGACATCCCCTCTGATAGACTCGATCCGTTTTGACACAATGAAAAATTAACACTATGCATAACAGAATCTTTTCCATTTTAACTCGTCAAGCCAAATGAATGTCTCTGGTGGAAATTTTTATTTTCTAAAATTTCATTTCAATCGGAAGTTCTTTAAATAATTTTCGAACCTTTTTTACACTCACCCAATTATTTAATGCAAAATGTATCGATCGCAGTAATTTTTTTTTTTCGTCTTCTTTGAAGAAAAAAAAACACAATATGATGCGACCTCTACGAAGTTCACACTCGAAATGAGTAAACGGTCAAAATCAGTGATCGTTTAAAAAGTAGGCACATTTGCAGTGCTTGCAATTACGTATCAATGGGAATACCCATAGTTGCAATATTATTCCACTTATATGCATTGAAAAATACTCAGGTAAAAAAAAATGCTTGTCGATGAGCAAATGTATGGCCGTTGCAATAAAAACTATGTACGTTGGGAACACGTACTGTCCCTATATTGCGAAATCAATGGTGTTGAATTCAAAAGTCCAGTCGGCTTTTCCTTCCATCTATTTATGCAATGCTTATACCAATGCTATGATTCATTCGAAAGTCAAAGAGAGAAAACCGATTTCCGTTTATACTTTGTTCATGTGTTTCTTTAGTAATAATTTTCAAAAATCGTTAAAAAAATTCATTTTAAAATATTTTTTTTCGATTTCCATTCTTCTGGATGCGCTTTCTTTTGATGTGAATACATATTTGGACGCCAAATGAATGCTTCAGGACAAAAGGAGCACTTGTAAAGTTTTTCGCCCGTGTGCGTTGCAATGTGATCTTTAAGTGCTGCAGCGGCTTTGAATGCTTTTGCGCATAAATGACACTGAAAATTCTGAGCAACATGAACACTTTTCATGTGGCACACCTGGAAAAACAAAACAAATGATGATGAAAATTGGAGTGGCGGTCATAACGCCCCGGACGGACAGCATTCTTCTATTGCAGTATTATTCTACATTAGAGTAGGCTATCCGTCCAAAGCGTTATGACCGCCACTCGAAAATTGAAATATCACATTATGATGAATTATCTTCACATACCAATGCCGCTGGATTTGGAGCGACTTTATCACATAATTCACATTTCACCGGCAAAGCCATGTGTATTGAGTCGACATGCTTCTTGAGTCGATATTTGTTGATGAATGATGCATCACACATTGTGCATTGAGAACGTTTCGATGGATCCTGGAAGTGGGAACAATTTTCGAAAATTATTCGATTTCATCACACACACACACACACAGAAAAAAAATAATCAAAAACTTTCACCTTTTGATCATCCAAATGTACGAATCGTATGTGCGTTTTAACAGTCGTTTGAGATACAAATGTTTTACCGCAAATCTCACAAATGACACCTTTCGAATCTCGATTCTGACTGTGCGCATACCGAATATGATGGTTCAATGATTGTTCCGTTGAGTATTGCTTGTTGCAATGCGAACAGGGAATTTTCTTCCTCACCTTGTCATCGTGCATTTTCATATGTTTTTTCAAATAATGATTACAATGGAATGCTTTATGACATTTTGGACATGAAAATCGTTTTTCTTCCACGGCTTTATGTTTTGATATGTGCACTGTTAAGTGTATCTTTTGATTGAAGCACTTCCCACAGTATCGGCATCTAAATTTGGGTTTGTTGTAGATAGGGAAACAAAACATTAATACAATTTCACTATTCATGATCACCAATTAGATCAAGACTGGCATACTTGAGATACTCTGGATTAATATGCCATCGGAAGTGATCGTCGATAGTTTTGGGTTTCATGAATTTTTTATCACAACACACTAGATAACCGTTGATTTCATGGGCGCTTCGATAATGTTGTTTTGCATCTTGGAATGTTGCGAATTGCACATCATCGCATAAATCGCATCGCATCGTGAAAAAATCAGACAAATCATATTTTTTATGTTCCGCAGCAGTGTTTGAGTCATCTGAATCTGATTCTTTTGGAAAATAAATATTAAAATGAAATTTAGACAAATATCCGCTTAATTCGGTTTGTTCACAAATGACGAACGAAATTTACCGATTCCATGATTATACTTTCGATGTATGTTCAATAGTTCGTTTGATGCGAATCTTGCTCGGCATATGATGCATATGTACGCATTTTTCTGAGCATCAGTCAAGTGTCTAACTATATGTTTGCGAACCAAATCGTAACGTTTCAGCACATTGCCATGGACAAAGCGTGAACCACAAAATTGACATCTATAATCGAGAGTTACAGAAATTTGATCTGTTTATTTATTTTTCAGTAACAAATTGGTTTTTAAAAGAAGCTTAGCTTACTTGTAATATTCTGGGTACAAATGGAATATGACGTGCTCATTGACTTGTTCAATTGTTTCCAATTTTAAACCGTTGCAACATTTTAAGTAGCAGTATTTCATTGCATGCTGTTGATCGTGATGGGCTTGAATTTGTTCCAATGATGCTGGTAGGTGCTCGCTACAAATATCACAGGCTGCATCGTAATATTTCGACAGAATCTCTTCAATTTTGTTCGAATTTGGAAACTCTATGATGTCTTTGTTCATTGTTAATGTATCCAGTTGCTTTTTCAACCTTTCCATTTTGTCTGCAATTTTGTTTTTGTTTAAATAATCATTAATATCCAATTCTAATTGGAAAAACGTCATCAATATTTCACTATTATTAAATAGTGAAAGAAGACAATTGATTAGTTGCATCAATAAAAGGTTTTAATATAAATTATGGCACTGAATATATCCGCCGCTGAAAAGTCGCTACCTTTATAGTGTACACTCCTTATGTGTGCGTCCAATGCAATCCGATGCGGGCATCTGGAATTGGTGTAATACAAAATGTAATGTTTGTCATTCAATCGGAAATTATCTTATTCAAATTTTGCAAATTAAGCATTTTAATGGCCAAATAATATCACAACTCATACCGTTCGGAGCAAATTGGGCACATATACTTGACATGTCTCAGTAGATGCTCAAGAATTTTCTGCTTTGACGATAATGTATGCGAGCAAATATCACAGATGAACTGCTTTTTGTGTGTATGATAATATGTGTTTTTGGAACGCGTCTGTCTAATACTGTATTCGGGATCTGAATCTGTGGAATCCAACAGACAATTGCCTTGAGTCAAAACGCACCTGATTTCATTCCATTTAAATTGTCTTTTACCTGATTCATTTCCGTATTCCGTTCGTTTTGTTGTGTTGGAACAGTCATCTTCCAATGTTTCCGCATATTCCATTGATTCGATGAAAATCGATTTGCACGTTTCATACTCCACATTTTGTTCTTCATTCACCGATGCCAGTACATCGATTGGTTCTACGGTTGCAGTGTCTATGTTCAGATGAATCGGTTCTAAAACATCAACAAAGTGATTGGTTTCACGCTCGTATTTGACGAAATCGTTCAAGTATCTGGCTTGAGCTGTCTGTACGCTTGTATGGAATTCATGAAAGTTGTCGATTTTTGTCCAACACTCCATGCACACGTGATTTGGCAATGGATCCGCTTCAATCACCTTCAAATTAACAGAAATTCATCGATATGCCACCAAATCGCATAATCCAAATTCAATATTTACCTCACCAACATGTTTACTAATTATTTCAGCCACATTTTTATTCGGCGCTACAACGCTGAAAATATTTATGCAGTCCGTGTTATTTAATAGACACAAACGACAAATTTCCATTTTATTTTTTTCAACCGATAAATAATACAAAATTTTGACTTAAGCTCTGAATAATTTATTCAGTAGAATCGATTGTTGCAACAGCTACACCGTTGAATTGTGTTTATCGCCTCGGTGTTTATATATTTACACTATTTTTTACTGTCAGACTTGTCAAAGCATGCATACGCGTGGGAACGCATTGCGCTGCAATCAAATATTTACCGGGAAATTGAACAATTCAGTGAAGGTCATTTTAAAATTGTGAATAATTTTAAGAAGGAACAAAAAACATCCTCAATTCCATAAAAAAAAAAAAACTAATCAAAAATTAGGTTGTTTGTTCATTTTCATTCAAACTTTATTGGTGTACAGGAATGTGTGAACAAACTGGGTGAGCAAAATATTTCTTCAAAATGTGTGAGCAAAATGGGTTGACAACAATAACGTGGTTCAATTTGAGCTACAGTCAATATGTGAGTCCACACTTTTATTTTCAATGGCATCGTGTGGAACGGTGCATTTTTGTACGATACTATTTGGTTCGGTGGCTCTTTCGCCGTCACATTCATGTGGATGCGCTTTTTTCATATGAGCATCCATACTGGCTCTCCAAACGAATGACTCAAAGCAATAGACGCATTGGTAAAGCTTTTCGGTGGAATGTGAGTTTCCATGTTCCTATGTAAGAACAAGATTTAAACTGTAGGTTTTTTTTTCTCCCCATAACTTGGATTTGAAGATATACCTGCAACTCCTCGGTATTGTTGAACGATAGATCACACAGTCGGCATTTGTGTTTTCGGCGAATTTCATGAAATGCCCGAATATGACCAAGTAAAGCATCATGATTTGGCGCCTCTAGGCCACATTCCTGACATCGGTTCGGTTCCATTGAGTGACATTTGCGATGCAATTTCAGGCGATAACGACTGCTCAGCCATAGCCCGCAAATTGTACACATTTCACTTTTGTTCTCTTCTTTTTTCGCCCGCTTCTGTGGATCATCCGAATGATGGGCCTGAATGTGTTTTTGTAAGTGGCTCGTCTGCAGGAATCCCTTTCCGCAAATGTCACACACGATACGGGCACCGGTAGTATTTCCATAGTGAATCAATTGCTCATGACCATCACGCTTTTCAGCCGATAAAAATCTGCAGCACAGGAATGAAATGATAGGTTTATTTACGAAACGATTTATATTTTCATAAATGGAATTGCTCCATTTGTTCAGCTCTTACCGCAAACTACAGAATCGACATTGGAAATCTCGTGGGCCACTCTCGTGCACGGCTTTTCGGTGGCCAACCAGTGTTGTGTGCCGTTTGAATGACTTTCCACATATTTCACACGTGAATGTTTTACCGTGACGTCGAACATGTGTCTTGAAGTGATCCTTGAGGTTGAATAATTTGTCACAAATTGGACATCTGGACAATTGAACAATTTTTAACCATGAAAAAAAAAAATCAAGAATTCCAAATTGAATTTAAATCTTTTTTTTTTTCATCAAAAAATAAAAGTTTCAACAAATTTTTTGTTCCATCAACTTAAAAAGAATTTAATCAATTCATAAATTAACCTCAAACTCTCTGGATTTCTGTGCCATTGAATGTGGTCGTCAATAGCGGCCAGCGATTTCATTTTCTTTGAACAGCATTTGATATAGCCCTTTGGTTCGCTGTGTTCGCTTAAATAATGACGCTTTGCATGTGGAAACGAGTCGAACATTACCTCACATTGATCACAAGACATATCAAAATGAGCAACCACATAATCCAGTTGCTGTTGGGACATCGTTTCTGTGACAAGTCAAATTGGTATTATTTTATTAAGAAAATTAAAAAAAAAAAAACATACAAAAAATATAATAATGATGTGTTTGATGTAGTAACGGAAATTAATTCTCACCATGTGCATTTCGCATGTGTTTTTCCTTTTGTGCTACGCTAAATAGCCTGTTTTCAGAACAATTGAACGAATTTAATGTTTTTGGATTCGAAAGATGTAAAATGAAATTAATAATTTTAATCGTTTTCATAGACTTGAAATTCCATTTTTTTCTTTTTCAAATCAGTAAATAGCATTTTGAAAATACTCACGTTTTTGAGCAAATTTCACATTTGATTTTCTCTTTGACATGCGCTTCAGCCTTATGGATCAGTAAATTTGATTTGGTTACGAAATGTTTATTGCACACATCGCACACGTATTGTGGATTTTCCAAAAGGTCAACGATATGATTCTTTAGATGGCTTCTTAGGTAGGATTTAACTTTGATTGTTGCATCACAAATGAAACAGCTGGAAAATGGAAATTTTCAACACAATTACTAAGCACACTTACTTAACCATGGATAAGCAAGTCCATCCGAAATTAAATCTTACGAGTAAATGTCTGGATTTTTATGATAGGCAATGTGTTCTTTGATCATGTGGTCTTCGCGAAATTTCATTTCGCAACATTGTATATATCCGCGGCTGTTATTGTGTTCGTTTAAATAATGCACTTGGGCTTCGTTGAGCGCCTGAAATACTGTCGGACACTCGTCACACTTCAAATTGAACCGTCCCCAAATGTCATCTCTTTCCTCCGGAGTTACATCGTTTGTGTCAATCGATACGATTTCATCGAGCTTTTGACGAAGTTTTATATCGAAACCTTAGAATAATTGTTGGATTTTATTATTAGCTTCACAGTTTAAGATTTTTCAAGAAGAAAGTTTGTTTTCATTTTTTTTTTACGGAATGATTTTTTACCTTCTTCATGAATGTTGATGTGCTGTTTCAATTTTTGCTCCGATGGCAGCCTGCAGCGGAGAAAAAACAATCGATTCAATGGGAAAACAAAAAGAAAAACAATTTAATAGTGATTGTTCTCTACCTAAGATTACAGATGCCACATTCAAAGCCATGACGAAGCTGAATATGTACCGATACCCGGTGACGACGCGTGAATGTTTTCACACAATGTGGACACTTGAAAATTTTGCCATCTCTCCAGTTTTTGTGTTTGGTCTTTTTCATGCGATCAGCTTCCTCTTTTGTTAGATATTTTCTTGGTCGACCTCTTTTCCGCTTCGGCTGCGACGTTTTCGAGTCTTTTCTTTTATACGCCTTTGCTGGTGTATAGTCATCACCATAGTCATCGTCAATATCGTCACCATCTTCGATTTCTTCTCTAAACGATTCATCTATATAAACAAGAAACCGAAATTAATTTAGAAGAACGCAAATTTTCAGCAAAATTCAAATCATTTACCGCTCTCAGATTTGTCTTCGTCTCCTTGAAAATCCGGATCACTTTCATCATCATCAAAAGTATCACCATCAGGGCCATCATCAAAGTGTGATGTTTGATTATCGCTGGCATATACCTTTGACTTCAATTCTTCATGAAACACAACATCTTCACTGGTTTGTTCAATGTCATCTAGCTTCAATTCATTTTCGCTTTGTAATCCAAAGTTCACTGAAACGAATAGTTCGATCAATTATTTTGAGTCAAGCGTTTTAAGTTCTTGATTAATAAGCAGGGGATTTTGAGCATTTTACTACTTAATACACTCACAATCGTCGATATAACTGACGACCGTTTCTTCATGCGGCGCCTCGATCTTAATGGGTATACTTCCATCTAATAGGAACTGTTTTTGAGCAGCAATTACATTTTGATAAAATTCGTAGAAAGTTTTTATTGTCATCCAGCAATCAACACAAATATGATTCGGAAGCCCATCGTATTCAGCTACCTACACAACAACCATACAAGATATCGATCTCAGATTTGTTTGTTTGATAAGGCCAACCAAGGCATTTACCTCGCAATGGAATATCTCTCGAATCACCTCAACAGCCCTCTGTGGCGTTGCAAATAAGTTTATATGGAAGAAGCCGTGTGTGAAACACAAACGACATTTATCACCTTGTTTTGTACACATATTTGCAACTTAACTAAAAACTATAAATCTCGGCTGCCGATATTTGTGGGCTACATTTGATTTTGACGATTTAATTGTTTGTGATAAATGTTAGTATAACAACCTTTTGTCATAACAAATGTCACGCACTCGCACTCACACACTCGGTGCGTTTGGATGCGGCGACTTTCAAACTGCATGGCGAGAGGGAAAGAGAAAGAGAAAGAGAATTTGACAACAACAAAGTAATACGCGGTGCCTCCACTTATATATAATTGCCTCCACATTGTACAAACGATGCGAACGCACATACACGTACAGTTCATATGGAAATGAAGAAGGTCAATGAACATGTGCCGTTCCTTATTCGATTTTTTCTTCTCTTTCTTGGATTTAAATCCATTGATAAAACTGATGAAATAAAAAAAGGAAAATTTTGCATAAAATTTGTTTTATTGCAAAATGTTTTTCTTTTGAATCATTTATTTATAGTTTGAATACGGCCCAAAAAAAAAATTCAATTTAGTTTCCACCTGAGTTCAAGTATACTCCTCGCAATTTTAAAATTCCAACGGATTTTTTTTCTTATGGTCAAAACATTGCGATTGTCGAAACGGACCGACCTTAAATTTTTATTGAGATCATTTATTTACACTTATGAGTGAAAATTAGTTGATTTATTTCAAATGATTGTTGCGAGAAAAAAAAACGGTTCACTACCTATGTGTCATTTGGAAAAAATAAAATAATTGTTATGCTTCATATTTGATATTTTTATTCATCATTTTCAGCAGCTTTCTGTAGACAAAATGACTCTTATAGAAAATAGTTTAACATTTAGCAAACCGTCTGGATGGATTGATTGTACATGTCTTGGCCCCAAAAGAATGTTTGCAGACAGAAACTATAGCCATATGGTCGTTCACCTTGAATGAAATTTGAAGGAAAAAAATACAAAATTTGTTGTTGCTCTTGTCGATATTTTATTTTATTTATTATTTATTTCATTCGGTATTAGCTGCCATATTGGCCAATTGTGTTTTACATTTAGTTAAATATAATATGAATCATCATTTTTTGAGTAAATACGAGTACATTTCTTTGGTAAAATTCCTAACATCATTGATTGCTCTTATTTCGTTGGGAATTTTATTCCATAATCCGGGTCCACTTATTGCTAATGAGTTTTTATGGAAATTATTTGCTGGTTTTTTGACTATTGTTTTATTCTGGGACCTGGTATTATTTTCATTAATTGCTGGTAAATTATCAAGATACGGAGACGCATTTTTTTAAGGTAATAGGTTAATTTTTGATAATATTCTCATCTGTTTGTGTTGCAATATGACCCTGGATACAAACTTAAAAGAAAGAAAAATATTTTCATAAATATACAATTTATATTTTTTACTCAAGTTTGTCAACAATTGTTGGTTCTGAAAAAAGAATTTCTTACCTATATTACGATTTCGTTTTTGAAAGCCTTATCGCACAAATGGCATTTATGCGTTCTCCCTCAATGAATAGTCTTCATATGAAGCTACAAAGGGGAAAATGCATGAATTTTATTCCATGTGATTAACGTCAGAATCCATTCGAAGTTACCTACTTCACCATTCAAATACGATACCTTTAAAGCAGCAAAAATTTTAAAATTTGCCGCAAATGTGGCATTTCTGCGGTTCAGATGTGTGAATAAGTACGTGAGCATGCAATGCCACTTCCGATCGAAATATCTTGGCACACACCTCACAGATACGAGTTTCTGACCTATGCTTGAAACTGATGTGCCTACTTAGATTGCTTTTGGTGCCGAAGCCAACAATCCAAACAATCGAAATCATTATTGGATAAAGAAAAACACACAGAACATTAAAGTTGTTCACAAACAAATTTTGTAACTCTTTTCGCAGAACTGGCAGTGTAAAGTGCGATCTGGTTTAACATTAATGCTCAAAATGTCGCTCTTGAGCTTTTCCTTGAACGCAAATGCCTTAAAACACATATCACAGATAAAACGACGATTTGCATGATTCGACATATGAATTTGCAATGCTTTTCTATTATCCTTGGTCTTTTGAAATATTTCACATCTAGAATGAAACCAACGCCATACATACTTGAACTCTTGAATATGTTGATTAAAGTCAGCAAAACATGAAAAAAAAATCGAGAAAAACCATTCCATATCGATAGTTTTACCTGAAAATGTCGGAATTAGAATACCATTGAATGTGGTCATTGGCTAAGCCTTGTGTGATGAAATGGTGAGCTTACGCATACAGCATTTCAGATATCCGTGTTTGTCGTGTTTATTTAGATAATGATATTGTGCTCCGAAAAACCGTTCGTTGAAAACATTACCTCACACTGAAAATGTAGTTCAACCATTTGTGCGAAACTCTTTTGATGACTCGCCAACAAATTATTGTACTCCGAATCGAATATGAAACACATTCGACACTGTCTATTATCCATTTGATTAGAGTGTGCTGGAAGTTTAATTTCCACAAACCACTGCAATGCTGTTGCTCACTATTTATCCAGCGTATTTTGTTTACACCAAACGTTTGAGGCTAAGCGTCAAAACAATGCACCGCAACGCACTGCATTGCAATTAGTTTGATGTACGTTCACTGCGTTTGTTAGTGCATAGCTCATGCAATAGAAATATAAAGACGAAACAGTCAGTTCTTATTTCAAAATTTATTTATCGAAAAGCCAGTGGACAATTTATGGATTCGTGAATAAAGCATTCTTCTTCGACTCTCGATCGGCTGTCCATTTGTCAAAGTGCACCTGCTTCCGATGTTTATGCATATTTGAATTGGATTTGAACATTTTCGTACAGTAGGGACATTTATAGAGATTTTCACCGGTATGCGATGCAATATGCTCCTGCGACGATTTTTTTTTTTGCGATTACATCGATTAATTATTGTCGATATGTATAGAGAAAATTGAACAAAAATTGAATCGATTAAATTTTGTTCAATGAAAATATTCTTGGCAAAAACTACAAACCGTCAAAGAAAGTTGTCGTTTGAATGTCTTTTTGCAAATGGTACAATGGAATGAGGCGTCCCCATGAACGAGTCGTTTGTGATGGTTCAACGCGGTCCGGGTTGGTTTCATTTTATGGCAAATATCGCATACTTGCGGTGAATCCGTGTGGATTTTCATGTGTTTATTCAAAGTGCCACGATTTTTGAGCCATGCCCCACAGAACGTGCATTGTACTCGAGGCTCTTCGATGCCCATGTGCTGCGTTTTCATATGATCCTGGAATCCTTCTTTTGTTTTAAACACTTTGGCACATACATCACATATCCGTTGATCGATTCGCTCGTGCACTTTTAAAATGTGCATTTTTAGTATGTGATCCGATTTAAAACTGTTGCGAGAAAGAGTCACATTAAATTGATTGGTTTCGTTTCAGATGGTTGAATGTTTTGGTTGGAATTTCGATTTAAACTTACTTCTTTTTACAAATGCCACAAATGAACTTCTGATCACCGATCGGATGCACATCGCTCAAATGACGGTTCAAGATGTGTTGCCTTGAAAATCGTTTATGACATTGATGACACTCAAAACTACGTTTCTCGTCTTCCAAATGCCGCAACGTGTGTGCGGTCAACGTTCTTTTCTCATGGAATTTCTTCGGGCATTTGGTACAGCTGAAAAAAAAAACAGAATCAATTTGAACAAATCTCCAGAATTTGAAGCCGAATTTCACATACTGAAATGCGCTCGGATCGACATGCCATGTGATGTGCTCGATAATTCGACTGCGTAGGAAAAACTTTCGATTGCAACATCTCAAGAATGGCTTTAAAACATTGTGTTCGTCTAGGTAATGCGTTCTGGCATCGTTCCACGAGTCAAATTGATGCAAACATAAGTCACAGTTCATTTGGAAATAATCGGCCGTTTTGGCTTCCATTTCCAGTTCCAGCGGTGTATAATGCTTTTCTTCAGCCGGTGGTTCTCTTTTGAGTGCTACCGCTTTTCGTCTGTCAATTGTCGATTCCCGTTCAATTGTTGAGCCTCGTTCCCTTAGGAGCAAATTCGATTTTTTAACCGGTGATTCGAGAGCTGCAACGAAACAAATATTCATTTAGAATTTATTTTTTTCTGATTCAAAATCAGGCAATTGTACCGTTTGTGTCTTTTTGTTCGATGGCATTTTGATCGTCTTCGTGGTTTGATGTGCCATAATCACAGGTTGAGTGGTCAACGATGACATCTTCAGTTGATAATATATCGTCCGTACCAATAATTTCACTTTTTATTTCAATATTTTCAAGCTCATGGCATTTATATTTGGAATTCAATAGCAACAAATGTGCCGCTTGAACTGACTTGTAAAATTGATCGAATACCAGCGTTTTATCCCAACATTTTAAACATATTCCATTTGGTTCATTGTTAAAATCTTCCACCTTAAAAAAAATCCAATAATTTTCATTGACAAATTCAATCGAAACATAGATCAAATGTGAGTGGAATGAGAAGGTAAACAAACCCGAAACCAAAAGTGATCAGCCAATGTTTCGGCTATTTTCAACTCTCGACCCCGTCCACTGAATATCCGAATAATTTCTTGATCACTTTTTATGCATAAAATGCATTGATCAACTACAAAGCACATATTCTTATCCAAATGATATTTGTTGCGTTGTTCACACGTCGTTTTCGATTTTTCCCTCGGCAAACCAATGGAATATTATTGTTAAAGGACAGTTTACAAATAGATTGGACGAGCTGTCAAAGTCAAAATCAACGCAACGTACTGCGTTATCAAGTGTTGGTTAGCTGAATGTGTGTATATTGTAATGTGGGAAAAATGTGAACAACAACAGTCCGTTTTATTGGTATTATTCGATAGATGAAGCGTTCTGAGTGGAAAATGAGAAGAAAATGATCGCATTTTTTTAAATAAATGAATAAATAAAAATATAAAAGAAAATAAAGTCGTCCAGAAGATTGCAGTCAATTACTAATTGTTCTGTAGAATTGTCGCATTCAAACCACACAAATTTTGAATAAATGTCCAAATATAAGAAAACGCCAAAAACTTCCTTTTTCGCAAACGTATTATATTTTATTTCAAATTTTATTCGCTTAAAAACATGATTTCTCCGGGGAAAAAAAATCGCATTCCAAATGAGTTGGCGGTCGTTTTCAAATCATTCATTTGACGTTTCACCGTTTGATTGACATTTGTACGCTGAGGCGACATCAGTTCCCTCTAGCACATTGAACGCCATATTGAAAAAAATTATCTTCGCAGTGCTAGTTCCGTTTGTCAATTCTTTTCTATTTCTTTTCCATTAAAATGGCACCGAAGAAACCAACTGAGAAGTCTGGTAAGCGAAAAAAAATCGAAAAATTACTGAATTTTTTGTAAATTCATTGTAGAAACGTAGCAAAGTGTTTTGTTTTTTAGTGGTAAATCGAAAATTCATCGTTTTTTTTTGCAATTTTCCGGAAAAAATGTGAAAATTCGGAAAACCGATGATTGCGAATGTTGGACGTGTGTACGCCACGCGGTTTTGAGGTTGTGTTCGATCAACAAAAACATGCTTTATTCGGTGATTTCGGGGCAATGGAAATAAAAATGTGTCGCAACAATTTTATTTTTCGTTAAATTTATGCAAAGAAAATATTGAATCATTGGACAAAGTGTGTTTTTATCGGTCGATGTGTGTGTGTGTGCAAAAACGAAAACGAGGGGGAAAAACATTTTGTGCAACACATAGCGATCTCATGTGCATGGCGGTGGCATTTTGCAAGTGCCAAAACGTGTATATGTCAATATGAATGTTTCGATGTTGTCGAAAGACGATGTGAATGATTACTCAAGTATGAGCTAATTTTTGTTTTTTTTTTTCGTGTGATTTTTCGTCATTTCTTTTGAAAATGTAGGCGAGAAAAAAGCAGCGCCAGCTGCTTCAACCTCATCCGAGAAAAAGGATACCAAAAAGGCTGCTCCAGCCAAAAAGCCAGCTGAGAAGAAACCAGCTGCAGCTAAACCAGCTGAAAAGAAACCAGCTGCCGCCAAGCCAGCCGACAAGAAACCAGCCGCATCAAAGGCAACGACTTCAAAATCAGCTGTGAGTGATTTTTTCAGCATTTTTTCTATCGCTTTCAGAATGTGTGTGTGTGTGCCGCGTGAATCAAGCGTTGAAATGCCAAACAAAGAGGAATGTGGTGGCATGTGTGTTGTTGGAATTTTTTGTGTCTGAATGTGTTTTCGGTGTATGATCCACGTGTGCTTCAAATGGCCGTTCAGTTTATTGAGTTTGTCGGTTAATGTGTATAATTTGTCATTATTCAGGCTAAGCCAGCCGCCAAGCGCCCAGCCGGTGAAGCTAAAGCCACCGCTGCCAAGAAGACAGCTACCTCAGCCAAACCAGTTGATAAGAAGAATGTCGCCAAGAAGCCAGTCGCCAAGAAGACCACCGCTTCAAAGACCGTAAGTTGAATTTGTTTTGTTGTTGTTGTTGCTCTGTTCAAAAACTTGGCTCCTCAACTTTCATTGTGTTTTGTAAACCAAATTCTTTATCCGCTTTCACTCATAATTTTGTTGTTCTTTTCCATTTCGTAGGCTAAGCCAGCTGCCAAGAAGAAGACCACCACCGCTAAGAAACAACCAACCAAAGCTGGTGCTAAATTGGCCGCTAAAGTCAAGTCATTGAAGAAACCATCAAAGGCTGCCGTTTCAGCCAAGAATAAGAAGGCCACTGCTGCCGTTGTTCGCGCAAAAAAAGTGCAAAAGAAGGTGATCAAAGGTCCATTCGGAACACGTACACGCAAAGTGCGTACCAGTGTTACATTCAAGCGTCCAAAGACTTTGGCTTTGCCACGCAATCCAAAATACCCCCGCAAGTCGGTGCCAACTCGTGACCGGTAAGTGATCACCACATTATTGATTTGTATCTCTCTCCATTTCTAGCGATTTCTCTATCAACGTGTGCAAGAATAAATTACGCATCAGCGAGTTCAATGATTGTTTGCGTCCAGACATCTTGCTAGAGAAAAGACGTAGATTATTTAATCTGACCCGATCGAAACTCATTTTATTCGAAATTCCGTGAATTATCACTTCTGGTATTTCTCTAGTGGTCCACATTTTAACTCGTGTACAAAATTTTGTTTGACTGTTTGCCCCGAGTTGGCGCATTTTATTGTGCGAAATGATTTTGATTTTTATTTTTCATTTGCAGCATGGACCCATTCAATATTGTCAAATATCCATTGACCACTGAAGCCGCCATGAAGAAGATTGAAGACAACAACACCTTGGTGTTCTTAACACATTTGCGTGCAAACAAACACCACGTGCGAGCTGCTGTCCGCAAACTTTATGACATTAAAGTAGCTAAAGTGAACTTGTTGATTAGGTGAGTCATTCAAAACTAAGCTATTTTAATCGTACTTTGTTCTTTTTGTTAGCAAATATCACTGTCGATGGAATTTTTGTTTTCCATCAATTTTGTTCCGCTTTTACTCTTGCAAATTGAAAATTATCACAAAAATTGATTAATTTGAATTGTGTGCTCTTTTTGCAGACCTGATGGACAAAAGAAAGCCTACGTTCGCTTGGCACGAGACTACGATGCTCTAGATATCGCAAACAAGATCGGTATCATATAAATTCCTCAGCCACGGCACACACAGATTTTCTACTTCGTTTTTTCGAATTTCGCCCAAATATGGATATAGAAGAAATGTTACATGTTCTCCTAACCCAATTCGAATAAATTTGAAAACACTGGAAGAAACAAAAAAAATATATTACTATTTTCTATGTGAAAAGAACATCAATTAATTAGGAATTGATTATGTTTTCATTTTTTTCCGTTTGACATTCAAGTCTTCTTTGTTGCGTCTCGAAATTTCTTTCTCCAAAAGAAAAATCCATGTGCATCTCCTTTGGCTCTTTGTTTCAGGTCTTTTTTTTTAGGTTTTACAGGTTTCAGGGGAGAACATTTTTGGAGGTGTTTGATTTTGGTGCACATCAATCGCAAATACCATGTGCCAACAGCAGCTTTCACCCAAAATAAGGTAAGAATCATTTTCAAATCATGTTTTGTTCCACATTCATTATGATGATAACAATTTTTGTAGGAATCTCTATGAATAATTGTGATTAGAATTTTTTTATATCTGATACCAAATGCAACATTTCATGTTGTATCAGTTTTATTTGTAATTTTGTCTAATTGTTTGTTGATTTCGTTTCAGGATTTCCCAAATCAATTCAAAGGCCAAAGCTATATTACATTTTTGGTGGTTCAAAAAGGTCAACGTTTACAAACGGCATAAATTCGTGAGTATTTTTTTTTTGCTACCATTCAAACAAAACGAAATGTTCCGAAATCAAACGATGAGACTATTTTTGTAGGAATCTCTATGAATCAAATAAAATGATTTCAACTTTATTACTGACATTTTATTTTCGGTTCGAATCAAATTCTTTTTCTATCGCGCAAAAAATTGCTGTTATCAATACTAATGATGGAATTTCTGATTTTCAGGTTAATGAGCCGAACAATGACCATTGAGCAATGGAAGCCGCTAAATTCAAACAATCACAACAATCAATAGAAAGATAAGAAAAAAAAACGGAATAAAAATTAATATTTGAATTGAATGAAGAAAATCGAAGTGAAAACGAAAATAAACAAAGAGAGGAAACCACAGAAATGTTGTATTTTTCTTTGTTACGAATTTCCAATTGACGCGACGAAAGAATCAACGTGGGTGTCACGTTTTCTATTTGCCATCCCCCCTCACATTCATAATTGAATCATGTGCATTGAACGAATGACACTGAACAAAAATTCTTCAGCTCTATCGGTCAATGTATTCGATTTTCAATCTTAATGCATTGGAATTCTCGGGTGCACGCTACTGATTCAAAATCTCCTACTAATTTTATACGTTGACATTTCGATTTGAAAATCTACCGATTACAACCATTGGCCGCGATTCAATGTCAGTTGTTGTTTTTTTTTATTGGTCCGACGATGAAGATGCGCTTACAGGCAACAACAACAAAAAAAATCGGCAAAAGAAAAAAGGGAAAGTAATGAACGAAAAAAACCATATTGAACAAATATCAATCGAAACACCTTGACTTGAAGTCATAACACAGGTCTGTGAATCAAATGAAGAAGAAGAAGAAGAAATATGTGACGGACGGTGCATCACTAACGCCACATAGTTGCCATCAGCGGAATCACATGCAAACGCTCTTACAAACACACACACACCGTGTGTAAGACGTAAGCGTGTGTATATACCCTACACACACACAGGAACAAGCACATTTTCTATATGGCACACAATGTAAACACAGACAGAATTCGACATTGGTGAGCGTGGAACAGCTCATACATACGACATCATACTTTGAATGTCACAACATTCGATAAAAGAAATCTAGAAACTTTTTTTTTTTGCTGTAATGTGTCGTTTTTATTCAGAGATTTTCTAAGTAGTGTGTGCGCGCGAGGAAAACGTAAGCCTCGTAATATTCGACGGAGAAACACAAGAAAGAAAAAAACTACGAATCTGCACGTAGAGAATATACAGCAATCAATTATTTGACGTACTATTTTGGAATATTGACGAGACAAGACGAGAGAAAGAGAAAGAGAGTATTGAGTGCAAGCGTACTGAAAAGAGATAGGAAAGTAAAATAAAATTAAAAAAAAAAGAAAGAAAAATAAGCGAAACAGAAGAAACGAGATTTTGGTTATACTTCAGTGAATAAAATTTTAAGTGTAAAACGCATCACGGGACTGTGTGTATTCTTTTTTTTGTTTCTTCTTCTTCTTCTTTTCCTTCTTTTCGTCTGTACATCAATTTGCGGAGACAGAAAGTGTAATAATTTTGCGATTGAAGTACGAAAAGGAATTTTAAAAATCAAAAGACATATTGTGTAAGTAAGAGGAAAAACATATCTATCATGCAAGCATCGTATTCATCTCCCCCCCCACACACACACACACACCTAGCACCAAACTTGATTTTTATTTATTTTTCATTTGCAATTTAATCGCCAATAATATATCAGTGCAAATTATCAAAACGAACCTTAAATAAGACACGAAACCGAAAATTGACATAAAAAAAAAACAACAACACAAACTACTAAGTGGATTATGGAAATGTCGTGTTGATGATGAATTTTTGTTCGACATTGGTCTAAATTTTCTATTTGATATTATAGATTTCTGTATATAGACAAGTTTTATATGGAAATGATAAAAGGAGTTCCGCAATTTCATCATAGAAATCGGTGGCAGCGGCGACGGGCGGTGTATGCTGCGCTCAGTTTCCGAATCCGTAATGTTTTCACATTTTGACATTTATGCACCTAAAAAGTGAAGTCACATAAAAAAAAAATGCATCAACATTGCAATCAACAACAGCTCTGATTGTATGTTGTTGTGCCGAAAAAGAATCAACAATTTCTGCATCTTTCTTCTCGAAACCGTTTCTGTTTCATTGTTTTTGCGCACCAATTCCCGTGTGACGCTCATAAAAACACAGATAAACATACAATGTGAACAATCAAATTTGTGCGGAATATACATATAGAATTCAAAGAAATCAAACACGAAACAATAACAACAACAAATTCAAGGCACCAAAGACGAGAGACATTCGTAGCAATCGTAGCTGTCATTCGTTTTCTATATCGTATTATACCAATGAAAAAAGAAAAAGAAATAATTTACGATTTGTGCGAAATATGTAAATACGCATATAAAATACTTTAAAGTGTATGTAATTGGTTCAGTGTTCTTATTTTCTGTCGGCTGCTCGGTTTTTTTTTTATTCGCTGCTGCTTCTTCTTTCTCTTCTATTATTGTTCGGTCTCTATTATCATTCGATTGTGTGTGCAATTTCTCGATAGAGAAATGAGAAATACAGAAGGCGAGAGGCATAGAGAGGGAGAAAGACAGAGAGTGAGCTGTAAAAGAACCTCTTAAGTGTTACCAAAGCTCGATATACATACGTGTATATATAGAGTTATAGAAGAGTATAGGCAATAATATGACGAACATGATGAAATTATTTTGCTAATTTGTGCGGCGGCGGCGACGGCGACGACAACGACAATGACAAACTAGTGGCAGTGATTTACGCGCGTGCATCCCAATACCAAAAAGAACATCTTATCTATTCCGTGTGATTATTATGTGTTTCTGTTTGTTTTAGACTCTATCCTTCGGTCCACTTTATTTTTTTGTCGCTCATTTTGCACGGAATCATCATTCTTCGCCCTGCTCCTGTCTCCGTTTCTCTTCCTCTCCCTTAGCAAAGCACAAACGAAACGAACAAATAGCAACAGTGTAGAACTGGATTATTTGAAAGACCTTGCGAACTGTACAAAAATCAACAACATTTGATTGTTCACAGCTCACGCAAAATGTTGAAGAAAAAAAAAATGCCGACCATTTGTTTGGATTGCATGCATACGATATATCATATTAGCGTCTATGTGTGCATGCCTATGTATATGCGGTGTGTTGTTTGTGTATGCATCGATGTTGAACTGACGTGTCCTTTGCTCTCCAATTAAAATAGAGTCGGGTGGTACGGTGAACTGTTGCGCTTGTTCGCACAAATACAACCGATCATGACTTTATTCAGCGCTTTGGCTTAATAATTTCCTTAATTGTTGACACTTGCACTTGAATTGTGTGGAAGAAGGAGAAAATAGTAGCAGCAACAACGTTTCACGGTGTCAGGCATGGTTGTATTAAGTGCGTACTCATGGTATTTACTACCACCTGGAAGACGATCAAAATGATTCCGTTTTGAAGAATGAAAGAAACAGTACCACTCAAGTGCCTATGCACCGAGTCAAACGAATATGAAAAACAGCAACAAGCACCACACACACACACACACACACACACACACACTCACAATCCCACGGCACATGCTTATCGTGCAGTGTTTCATTTCCTTTACGCTTCGATTGAGTATAATCGAACTTAACAGCAGCAGAACAGTTGCTTCACATTCGGGCTCGTTTGGCTACAACCATATATATTTACTGTTTGCTTGTTTCTCGTGTCGACGTCTTCTTCTTCTTTATTTTTTTTTTCTTTGAATTTCTTTCCTGCTGCTTCTTTCGAGCCTTTTCTTTGTGGTTTACACACATATATTGTATTTTTCTTCGTCGTCGTTGTCGTGGTCGTCTTTCGAAAGGTGTGTGTATGTTGCTGTAAATGTTGTTGTTGTAAAAATATATTCCGTGGACTTGGCTTCTTGTTGCTGTTGTTTTCCAGTGCTATTTTTGAAACCATTTCGAAGTTATTGTTTCAGTTTTACTGACATATCCACTTCTATTTTGTTTGTTTTTTTTTGTTCGTTCAGTTCCATTGAAAATAAAAAAATAAAATACCAATTAATGAATTAGTAGTTGACAAATGCCTTGTGCGAATGTACGTGTACCAAAAGCGATTTTCGTTTGAATTTTCGATTTTAAGTGAATATTTGTTCGGATTATGGGTGACAAGCTACGTTTTAACTTTGTTGTTTTTTCTTCTTTTTATTCGATAGGAATAAAATAATTTACATGTGACACAGGCAACCGATTTGGATCCAGTTTGTGACTGAGAAACATCGGTGTGAATAACAACAAGTAACAACAAAACTCAGAATAGCAAAAATGTCTTCGTCCGTAGACACATCAACAGCCTCATCATCCGTATCCGCATCCGCATCCACATCATCAACAATGTCAAATACACAGAGCAGCCCGAATAATGCTGCAACCGATTTTAGCACGAATCCCACTGGCAACGTGATCGGGACATCAGATGCAGCTAGCACATCAAGCCGAACAACAGAGCCAACAACAGAGCCAACAACAGCAACAACGAATCCAAAAATCTTTGATACAACAACAGAACCAAAATTTGGCGACACCGGCAAACCGAATGCCAGCGATACAAATGGCTCGAAAAAGGATGATTCAATGTTTGAGTGTAATATTTGTTTGGACACGGCGAAAGAGGCCGTTGTTAGTATGTGCGGACACTTATTCTGTTGGCCATGCTTGCATCAATGGCTCGAAACACGGCCAACACGTCAACTGTGTCCCGTGTGCAAGGCAGCAATTAGCAAAGAAAAAGTTATTCCACTTTATGGCCGCGGCAGTACTAAAGAAGAAGACCCACGGTATGTGTGTGTGTCAGAACAGCGACATTGAAAGAATATCTGTTTTCTTTTGTTTTGCTTCTTTGATATTGATAAAAAAAAACCCTAATCAAATAGGAACATTACAGTTTTTTTTTTGTAATCTAGTCTTTGGAGATTTGGTTTTGCCGCCAATTTTCCGATTGTGCCCCATTTGATTCGATTATTTTCCGAAAAAGCATACTAATTGACCATTGCATGACCATTTATTACAGTTCAAAAGTTCCGCCACGTCCTGCTGGTCAACGTACAGAACCAGAACCGAACACAACCTTTCAAGGCTTTGGCTTTGGCGATGGCGGCTTTCAAATGTCACTTGGAATTGGTTAGACAAAATGTGCTCTTATGCAAATGAAATGATTATTAATAGAACTAAATTTCTGTTTTAGGCGCATTCCCATTCGGTATATTCACATCGACATTCAATTTTGGCACCAACCTTCGCACGCAAAGTATGTGTACGTATCTCAATGTGTTCCAGCTCGATATTCATTCTATGTTTGCTCTGTCATTATCATTTTCACATCCAGATAGAATGAAAATGACATATTTTTTGTCGCCAGAGTTAATTCATCGAATTATTTTTCTATTCTATCTTGCAGATCCTAGCACAACCGTACAATTCGAAGAAGATCAGTTCTTGTCAAAAGCATTCCTCTGGGTGACTGTATTGTTCTTGGCCTGGCTTATTCTTGCCTAAAATATTTAGAAAAAGGAAGAAGAAAAAAAACCAACAGCAACACATCTCGCCGCCTCTCCATTCATCCTCCCTGCTATTCAAATTTGAAAGAAAATCATCTGTTTGATTAGAAGAGCGTAGTCAACAGCTGAACTTATAAAAATTTAGATGATGCAACATCAAAATGTCATCTGTGTACGACGATCGAAATCGGATATTGGATAAAAAGTCATTTCGATCCTTCTACACAAAATACTTCTCCTCCTTCTGCTCCTACTGCTGCTCCCCAATTTATTTTTTATATTTACTATATATTATTGAAATCGAATTGATGGCATTTTATTTTCTACACTGAAATTTTACATATTATTCGATGATTTAGTAGGCTGTATATGCATTGTGATGCTGCGCGGCTGAAGCAAAGATTCAAGATGAAATAACTGTTAAAATATGATATTTTATCCCAATTTTTTTTTTTTTTTAAGAAACAACATCAAAAATGATAATGATGATGATAATGAACAATCAACAAAAATTTACGACTATAAAATGTAAAAGAGAAACAAAATGATAGAAAAAAAATCATAAAGATGAAACAAAAAAAAAATTAAATAAGTTTATCGCAAAAAAATCCACACAAAAATGCGAAACAGACAACACGAGTATGTGTGTTGTTTGTGCCGACGTGTGATTGATTTGCGTGTTATCGTGATGTTGGGCAACAAAAAATTAAATTTAAAGTTAAAAAAAAAACAACAACAAGAGAAGAAAAGAAAAAAATCGTAAACTTATTGAAATATATACCTATTATAAATTGTACATGTGTAATTAAATTGAAATAAAAGAAATATGAATGAAAAAAAAAATGCAACAACAATAATCAAGTGTATTCAGCATCATGTTCGCAGAGAACCAAACAAATGACAAAGAATTCATGTTCGTTGGGGTTATTTAGAGACATCGCACCCATCGAACGCGGTCTGGACGATATATCGATGTTAATGTGTTTGTGACTTTATTTGGATTGTGCATCGAGAAACATCACCAATTCATATCGATCATGAAACAAAAACTAGTTATTTCATATCTGGAATGACCGGCTTTCATCGCTGTTGTTGTTGTTGCTGCTGCTGCTTTTCGTTCCTCGCACTTTTTTTTTGTTCTGTCTGCCATTTAGAAGCTCGTTTTCGTTGATTTATCCGCACATACACATTTTCAGTTGATCGATTGTTTTTCCCAGCGTATGCTTACAACGGCGTTGATGTGGTTGCCATCGATTTTATTCGCTATCGGCGAACCAACGCACTGTGAAAAAGGATTTCAATATGAAATACCCATTTTATCCACATTGCATTTAATTTATTCAATTATGTTGAATTATGCAGACGCATAATAGGACATCCAAGACATAAGTGGATATTAATGATTGTCGTTGCCATTGAAGCAGCTGTGTTTCGCTAAGTCTGACCGTTTGTTTACAATATATGCATATTCAATGTCCTTCATACTGCAATGCACTCAATCCATTTCCCTAGACAACTTGAGTGTCTTTTGTCATCCGTTAGCCAATCACTTGACTTACCATCGCACCATACGAATTCGTATATAATACGCTTAGGCGCACACCTTATTCATTTCCACCTGATCAATCTTCGATTCCATATATGTGTAGGTTTACCTGTATAAAGGTTTTGCTATCTAATTCAAATGCATCAGCGGTGGGGAGAGTAAATGATGAAGCAAAAATTAAATGCAACTTTTTTTCGTTTATTGCACAGGAAGTGCGTCGTTGTTCTTAATCCTATAATTTATTTTTTTAAATTCTTGCAGACTGACATACAATGTTCAATTTAAAAAAAAGGAAAAAACCACACAGACGCAAAATTCGTTATTTGTATGCCATAGCATTGACCCCACAGGTAAATCAACTCACAAATGAAAAATGCATTTGGTTCACTTTGGAATTACAATTTTAGCATTTATTTAAATATTAATTTGAAAGAAAAAAAAACGTCGTAGTCGTATTAGTGCGATAACAAAGACAATAGACAATAGACAAAATCAAACTTGATCTTAACCTATTTTATTGAAAAAATGAGTTTATGGATTTGAATTCGTACATTTTACGAAAGCAATTTTCAACTATTCCACTTCGTTTTTTTTTCTCTCTTCGGTTCGATGCACTCGGACTAACTTTCTGACATATAAATAGATTCAAAAAAAAAGGTGTGTATACAAATATTTTCTAATGGCTAAAAAAAGACTTAATCTCGACTGATTTCGTTTTAGCTTGATTTTTGTTGTTGTTGTGTAAAATGAGGAGATAGAAAATGAAGCGAGCCGCCAGAAGGAAGGTAATACGAAACTATTCGAATGAGATGAAATGAGACGCAGACGATATGAATCATTGTTTAAATGAATAATTTTCTTTGTGTTTCCCCGTAGTTTCGCTGCAGCGAAATACGAATACATGTATTTGATAAATGTTCGTTTGTTTTCAGCCTATTCGAATTGGCATTTCGCCGTAAATGGTTTCCCATTCTTTGCAATAGGAAATGAGTTTATTTGGTAGCGGCAATAAGTCCATTCGATCAATTTTAACAACACTTTTTTGAATCACTAATCGGCACATGTTCTGCAACGATGAAATGTCACCAAAATGCGAAATCGGGTTGGTTAGACGAACGGGAAATGGAGGTATTAATTGTGAACTTTGTTTCACATAACAGAATACATTCTCTTTGGATTTTTTCATCGCATCATCGATTAAATCTACGATGGACCGGTGCTTTGAGCTGAATGTTTGCCTATGGTAAACGTGAGAGATAACATGAAAATTAGTGAACATTTTCGATTCAATAACACTTCTCTATTAAGAATATTGCTATAAAAACAAGCAGCAATCGATAATGGCTCAATTATCTCGCTTTTGAGAGAAATCTTCAAAAGAAACGAGGGCCTTTTCAAGTGGAGAGAAAAAAAAATATCACTTACCAATAGCCATCGACAAATTCGATGCGATAATGCAATGTTTTGCCAGCAGTACGAAAACTTATCGTAAAATTGTGTAAATTTATTTGTGAATTTCGAACCAAAAATGATCCATTTGGCGTTCCATGCAGTCTTTGTTGAGCTGTGTGCCGTGATATTGGTCCCCAAAACCATCCATATCTGGTTTATGAAAGAAAATCACTTGAATTAGAAAAAGAAAATCTTTTTTCTTGCATCTAGATGAAACTGATCGGCATTATTTACCTAGCCATTTGAGCCGTAGCCCGTATCATTGCAACTTCTTCATCATTCCCGTTACCCAGTTGATCGACAATCGAATAGAGATTGGTTTCGTCTAGACCATCGGTGGTATCGTTGGCATCGATGGCATTGGTTGCATTGGATTTGTTGAAATCATTCGATGTTTGCTCCAAATGCTTATGACGGCTCTGTTTCGATATGAACTTACGGATACGCCGTGGTATCGATCGAAACCAATTGGTGCTTCCATTTGTGCTTGCCGTTGTACGTGCACTACCAACAGTGACAAACAAACCCTCATTCACAGACGGAGTTTTCGATGGTTCATCTTTGTTTGTCATAATTTCGTTTTTTTTCGGAATCCGTGTTTTGTTTAAGTACGGCGTATCATATAAAGAACAAAAGTGCAATGCAATTGCACTCGGAATTTTCAACAACCAACTTAACAAAACACCAGCACACGATAGCCTAACACAATAACAACAATAATAACAACAAAAATTGGTTTTCTATACAAATCACTTGTTCGTTTGATTTTTATCGATTTTAATTGAGCATTTTTCCCTTCGTAATAGATTGTTTTTTTTTTCGTAAGTGCGTTCTGAATGACTAATTAGGCTCTAATGGCAAAAGCAAAATATAAATAATTGTTCTTAATGTAAACGTCAGAAATTGAAACATGACAGAAACAACGAAGTTGGTTACCCATATACTTTGTTTAGCATGAAGTTGGTTATGGGCCGCGTGAGCGCTATGTTTTGAATCTAATAAATGCAGTCATTGCAATGAAAGGCACCAAACACATATCCATTCATATACAACAATATTCTTTTGGTTGTATGCCTATCAACATGTTGATGCATTATTTTGAAGAATTTTTTTTTATTTATGATTTTTTTTAGGATTTGCATGTGGATTATACTTTTATTCTTCGAAGGAGAGCTAATTGTTGATCAACACTTTATTTCTTTCAACTACTGAAAATGAGCTCTACTAATGAAAAGCTACAAAGGATCATACCAAAAACAGGATATTATTGAATCCACGGTGAATGCAAATGTTCATATTCAATTGTTCATAAACAAATCGAATCAAACCTTTCCTCCCCAAATTTTCACATTTATTAGATTGAATGTTGCACTGAATATCAGAGCGTGTTTCGAGCTGACGTTAGCAGCACTAACTAACATCAGCTGCTGACGAGTATGCGTTGCGTTGTTTTAACGCATTTGTAGTATAAAAACGAAGAGGCAAGCAAACATCTCATTGGAATGTTTGGAGAATATCTCATTTTTATAATGCAAAAGCGTTAAAACAACGCAACGCATACTCGTCAGCAGCTAATATCCTCAGCAGCTAATATCGTCAGCAGCTAATGTCAGTTCAAAACACGCTCTATTGAATATGCACCGACCGATGTTTGAAAATTGCAAGCAGCTATTTGTCTTCGACTGAGTTAATTTTGAAGGAATGTTCAACTTGGGATAATGCCAATCATAATCCACATTGTTTAATCGAAGAATGTTTTTATTCAGTGAAAATTGTTAAATCGTTCAAAGTACAATCTGATGTTAGGCTAACTATATGGCAATCTGAACTTTCAATTCGAACCAAATTCAAGGTTGTCACAATGTTGGAAAAATATTTGCAAACTAAACGCCATAAAACTTAGTTTTTTATCATTGTTGGTACAAAAATTGGAATTTACCAGTTTGAAATTGGCCAATGAGTGTAAAATATCGACTTGTGCTTTGAAAATGACAATTCTTCTCATTACAACGATATTTCCAGTTATGGCTGTATATTTTGGCTGCCCTCAAGTGGAGCTCACTGGTTTCAGATGATTAAAACTATGTTTGAAGTTTTATTAAAGGCAAAAGGTTGGTCAACATGTGGCTTTACCAACAGTCGGTTCTACGCCGGTGAGCTGATTTCAACCAAAAATTGTTACTTGAATTATAGCGAAAGATAGAAAGGAAGGGAGGTGGTGATATCCCCAAACTGTATGTCGGACATTAAATTGCAAGGATTTATCTATCAAATAAACCAAGCGGTACGATCAAAATATCGGAATTTGTGTTTTTTATTTCAATATCAAAAAAACGGATTTAAAAAAAAACACCCTTTATATATACATAAAACAATTTTTTATATTTTTCTCAGCTTCGAAATTGGAGCGATCATACTGGACAGACACATACAAAGTGGTGTTCTGATGTAGATAGAGAAATAAGACAGCCGCAGCTATCCATGATATTCACAAATAGAATTTAATCACTTTGTATGTGTAGAAGGATCAACACTTTCAAGATGGATCAAACATACAGTTTGACCGAAATCAAACTTGCATCCGATTCTCGTATAAATCGTTTTCTTTAACACTGAGTCGTGATTTTTGTTTCATATGAATTTCTAATATTCTTGCATACTGAGAAAAGAAATTTATTGGTTTCTCTAAGCTATTTCCGATATTAACTCATTACGAACCAAAGAAAGTGCTAGAACAAACCAGTTTGCAAATATATGGAACGCCGATTTCAACACGACTATTCGGCGGATGCGTTCAAAAGGGCAATCCTGAAGAGAAAAGAAAAATGAGTTATTACCTCTACGTATTTTTATCTGGTTTGATTCTTGGTGCCGCACGTATAGCACCTGCCAATTGAATGTGCTTACAAAACATTATCTCTACCACCTAGACGGAAACATGCAACATTTATTTTCAAGAAATCAAAAATGTCGATTATTTTCTTTCAATTTGTTTATTTTTAAAATTTAATATCATTTTGGAGTGATTTGTTTTTTAAAATAACCTAAATTACTTGCTGATTGTTATTACAGATTTTATTCTTTGACCAGATAATTTGATTCGGTGTGTGTTCGTAACGGATCATTTAAATCGATCGTAACTAATTCTTCGATGGTAACCGTACCGGCCTTTTTAATATCTTTAATGCCTTTAAATTTGCCTTGATCGCTTTCGGTGTTTTTGAGATAGCATCCGGCTACAAGCATTGTTACACTCACCGCCAATCCAAACAATGACCCGTAACGCAGTGACATTTGAATTGCATTCGCACTGAACGTACTATGATAGATCATGGCCCGAAGCTCTTCAGGTACTTCATCCGATGTCACTTCCATCCACATGACTGGCAGTATTTGTTCGTTTTCGAAACGATTCAATTCGCTTCGTTCGGCTTTGTGTACTTGAGCATTGATTTGAAACCGTGATGAACCGGCCATTGGGAATGCCAATCGTGGATGCACATCTGCGAACGTTAAATGTTCATTTTCATTTGGCGATAGACCGTCAATATTCTCAAACAATTTATCATCGCCGTACAAAAAGTGTGGAAATGATGAATAGATTGGTGCATCAAAGCATAGTGTTGCATTGAATACACCACTTGGTGCACATTTGCCAGATCCAATGTCGCAGTAACACTCATTTGCTGGATTTTTATCTGGATTATCGAAGACATTACGTGGTGCCTTGTAACGATAGGCGGGTACACCATTGAACAAGCTCACCTCTGAATCATAAACCATTGGGAATTTGCGACAAAATGCTTTGATAAACACTTCGAGTTTGTGCTTTTTGTCCATTAAATGTGGAGGGAATTGGGATCCGTCAGAGCCGTCAACGCGATTACACTCATTCGTTGACCAGAAATTCATACGTGGCTGCCCTTTAAAATTGTCAATCACATTTAGCTTTCGAATATCATCAACACCTGAGTTCACCGTAAATGTTTCTTCACTGGTCCCATTTCTCTGTGAAGGAAGAAATTGTTTTTTTATTTTTTGAAGAAATAAAACGTTAAATAATTGAATTTAAAGAAAAGTACTAGAATTGAAGTTGTCGATTATTATTTTTTTTTTTAAATTTCCATATATTTACCGTAACTAACATGCCGAACTTATCGAATTTGGGTTTGCTGTCACCATATGTCTTTGATATCTCTATCAAAGGGTCATCGTAACCCCACAAAAATGAATGTGCTGGCACATGCTGAAACACACACATGGATTTTGGTTTTTAGTTTATTTCAATGAATTTTCAATTGTTTGTCAGGATATCAGTGCGATTTTGTTAAATAAAAACCCTACCACGAAAGGTTTCAAGGTAATAGCAAAGGTGGCAACGTTGAATGCGGCGGTTTTCAAGTAATCCCATTTTAATGATTGCCAGGCAGCTGTCAAAAATGGCACATTTGGCACAATTAACGGAACAAATTGATGGGCGGCCGATAACTCTGGACGAAAATCAAATGATCGATGCTCCTACAGAATGGAAAAGAGTTAAATTCAAATAATTTGCTTAAAACTAAATGACAAAACTGTAGTGGTTTTTTTGTTTTTAAAAATTACATTTACATATATCGAAAAAATGACTTGTAACATTTTGATGATTTTCAAATATTGAATCAAAGTCACATCAATTTCGGTAGATGCATTGAACAACAGCAAAAATCAAATGTTTACCCGATAAGAGATGGTGTTATTGTCATTGTATACAACTTCGACTTTTTGGGTTTTCTCGGTATAGACAAACGGTCCGATATCTTTAACTATCAGCTTCTTATCTAGGCCATCTAAAAATCGTTCCGTATTTGTATAATTGAATATGTGCACTTTTAACTGTGGATTCAATGGCGGCTGGATGAAGTAATGTAAGGCAGTTGAATTTTTTGCTAACACTAAAGACTTTCCGGGATAAAAAATATACAAAGATATTCATTAAAAATTGATCAAGATATTTATTGGCTCATTCATTTCTATTCGGAAATATTCGTTCACAGACAAACTTACAGAAACAATAGAATCGTTGTAGAGTTCTGTAAACCACATCACAAAGAAGACGGCTCCACTGATAAGAAATACGACGATGAGGATGAACATCACTGTAAATAAACAAAGGGGGAAATTTTGTTATTGTTTTTAAAGTATGAAGTATGAACAAGATGAGTATTTTTTCTGTGTCGCCATTTTTTTTTTTCCGAAGACATAACAATATTCGGTAATTTCGTGAATATGTTTTTTTTTTCTTCTTTCATTTTCAATAAATCACATCTTTGTTGCGTGTATAATCAAAAGATATGGTTTCATCAACAGTTTGAGAGATAAAAATGTGGTGTTGTTATTGTCTGGCCGTTGGTCAGCGTGCTGTTTATATTTATTTTGTTCAATTGCACTGTCTGATTTTTTTTGTTTTTCTTCTTGTCTTTTGAACATATAAATATATATTTTTTCGATCAGTCAAGGTTGTCGAATGCGAAAAAATCATCGTTTGTTGTTACTTCAGAAGTGAACATGAAATTAGTGACTAATTACTTTAAACAAATGCGATGGCCACAAATAGTTTGTGTGAGTCGAAGCATTGAACAGAGGATGAAAAATACAACAATCGAAAAAACTAGCACAAAAGTGCTCAATATGGCCAATGCAACATCTATTGACTAGATCGAGAGGAGAGTAAGTTCATCTGACTTTGTTGTGAAAGAGAAGAGTAAGTTTCTTTCGACTCAAAAATGGTTAAAGGCGAGTATGTTCATTTTTGGCGGGTCCTCGCGGTTTTCCACGGTTTTCGCGGAACTGATAAGAGATAACAACTTGGTGTCTTCGGCAAAGTTGTAGCACTCGAGGTCTTCTATAACATTGCTGAAGTCAGTTATCTCTTATCTCTTATCAGCTCCGCTAAAAGCGCGAAAAATGATAAGAAAAAAAAAGTTCTATATAAAATTTGCTTTTTTATGTGCGCGATTTGCGCGCAACTCATAAGAGATAAGAGATAGATGTCTTCAGCAATGTTAAAGAAAACCACAAGTACTACAACTTTGCTGAAGACACCATTTTGTTATCTTTTATCAGTTTCGCGGAAACCGTGAAAAACCGCGGAGGCTAGACGGGATGCCAACATACTTCCTTTTAACGCAGATAGAATCAACAGAAATCATACTCTCCTCTTTCAAAATATATTAGAATTTTTTCGCATACTCTCCTCTCGATCTAGTCAATAGACATAATTTTTGTTTGAAAAATTACCCCAAAAATTGAATCTCCGATAACAAAAGTGTTCACCTTCACAAAGTCTTTTCAATAACCACATGATAAATTGTTATTTATTCAATTCATTAAGATTTTACCCCGAACATTTAAGAAGAGCCGGTAAATTCAAACGGAACCCAAACAACTACAGAAATGGAATATTGTAATAAAATCTCCAATTCCACGTCATTTGAACGAAGTCCTTCGTTCATAAAATGCAGATAACATAGGAAATAGCACAAAAATCGACCAAATTTAAAAGCTTAAAGAATTTCAACTCAATGATATTCGAAGACGATTGATATATTGCTCGAATTTATGTGATTGATCCCACTAAATTTCTATGGCATAAAAATGAGCACACTTCCAACAATTCGAAATCATGTGGCCATTTAAAAATCGTTAACTTAGCTAAACTTTCGGTGATTGTGGGTGTTAATTGACCGTTAATACTATTTTAATAAGAAAATTAGGTAATGACATTCGTGACCATTGGGCCACGGTGCCATTTGTATACGATAGAAAATGGTCAATCTAAAAATAACCCAAGGTATCAAATGTACGTACGCGGCAATGGAAAAAAGTGGCCAATTTGTATCAAATGCATAGCCACAATTGATACAAAATTATCATACACGCGATGACAACGGTGAATTTCTTAGTGCACGTGTACCAATCAATGCTGAAATTATACATAGTATATGTAATAGAAACTGTTTCGTTGGAGCAAAAACAAAATGTGCATGTGTGTGTATGTGTGTGACGAAATCAGAAAAACACAATATTTTCATATTGACTCAACAATTGTGTCGATGTGTGGAAATTGCGTTTAAACGGGCGAGATGTACAGTATTGTTAATGGAAGACAGAGAGTCGGTCGTCGCATCTGCTGTTAGTACAGTGATATGCAAAACATACATGGAATTTCTCTTACATTTTCTAGATGATCAATCAAGCATGAGAAGGAAAGAAGAAAAAAAAGGCAACTAAATAATAATATTGACTTATGTAATTATATTTGATTTGGTAGCGTCTTCAACAGTCGTTGTTTTTTTCCCTGTTCATAGATTTTATATCAAAAAGAGGAAATCCCAATCGAACATATGCACACACACATACATTTGGATGCAGAGTTCATTATATTGATTGACTTTTTGAACGGGCGCGCTCTTCTTCTTCTTTCACAAAATTTCATTTTCAAAATGAACTATCGCTTTTTTTTCTGCTGCTGTTGTGGTTGTGGTCTGCACTTACTGATTGCGTGGCAAACGTATTAGTCATTTCTGGTCGAATACGACACACAAAAAAACGTCTGTACAAATTTGCCTTTTCAACTCTGCTCTTTTGTGAGTGCGGTGCGGAACCAAATAGAAAAAAAATTGAATCTTTGAGCAAGCACTTTTCATTTTGGAAAAAAGTCCATATTCAAACCGAGTTCGATACACAAATGAAGCGCATAATGCAGCAGCGTAAATGCTGACCATCATTAGAGCTAATTGAAAATGAATTCGAACCAAATGATTCAAATACATTCCACAAACTTTTTTCCTTTGCATTCAATGGTCCATTTGAATTCTTTCCCATTTCTTTTGTGTATGTGTATGTGCAGACCATGTTGAAATTTGCAATTAAACGTTGATTGGATTACTGCTCAACAGTGGCAGTGATGACGGCATTGGCAACGGAGATTGAGGGGATTTTTAGAACTTTGGCCATTGATTAATATTTGTTTTCGATTGGAATAGTTTTAGCAATTTATTGAAGCGTTGTTGTTTGATTACCGAATCAGCCACATTTTCTCTCTCCCGCTCTCTCTCTCTCTCCCGCACTTTATTTTTGGTGAAACATTCCGAATTAGGGTCATTTCATGGGAATTAACTAACGAACAGAAAAGTTTGCTTCAGAGATTCCATTCGAAATTCCAGATAATTATGTGATTTCTTGGAAATTTCCGGTTCGAATTGAAGACGGCTACTGTGTGTATGTAATCACTGCGAAATGCTTTAACTTGTGTTTTTTTTCGTTTTCTTCATTTTTTTTTCAAAATAATGTATTCGTAAGAAAAGTTATCGATGAAGCATAATATACAGTGACGCGTATGATGTACGCGCATCGAAATTGTATTTGATTTCGACATAGGTCGAAAGGAACAAAGCAATAAAATACCTATAAAATGAAATGATAAAAACCAGAGTGAATGCAGATAAGATTTTACCAGATTTTGATTTCATTGACGAAGTGTTCGGTGACCTTTTGTATCTAGGCAAGTGATAATATGCAGACGTCAAAAAGCGTCCATGGAAAATCTCCTACTTTTCTCGCACCATTTGTGCAGTCAAAATGAAAAAAAAATAGGGAGCCAACCATTCATTTGTTTCCATGCGAATAACGTTTAACAATGGGAATAACAACAACATTTTACCGGATCTGAAATGAGTTTTGCGACTTCATTTCTCCCTTCACGCTTTCAACATCAAAACATTTACAATATTATTTATAAAAATACACATCGATGCAAGATGAACTGAAAATAAAGATCCTTATCAACACACAGACGGAAAAGAAGTAAATTGAATACGTCAAATGGAATCAATAAAAGGGAACATGGAATTGCAGCGTTCTATAAAACAATGTTATTCTTGATACGGTTTTTGCAATTGATGTCGTTGTTTTCATTCATTCGTAAACATGTGTGTGTGAGTCACATTGTGCACACAATATGAGATGATAGGAGATGAAGAGATGTGTTTTGTGTGTGAGCTTCGAATAAATGACGTGGGTCTACGTTTGTTGAGATTACTGATAATGATATTCATTACAAATTGATTCCAAGTAAGGTTAAGGACTTCATAATATCTACATTATACTAGAGGCTTATGTTACTAACGGGAAATTTTACTAACTGAAAAAAAAAACACCATAACTTTCGGCGGTCGAAAAATGAGATGGGATTCTTAACAGAGAAAAAAACGAGTCATGGTTATATCACTGAGACACCAAAAATTGATTGTGGCAGACAAAACTGAATGTGGTTCGATTGGTTGTGAACAACGATGCGAAACAAAAAAAAAAGGCGACAAATACAAACGATGGGGGTCATATAAAAAGGTCTTTCACGATGCGATAAGAAATTTGAAAATAGTTTTTACTCAGTGTCACACTGACACCGTTTCTCTCTCTCTCTTTATGTGTGCCTTGCACATAATTTTTTTTCGATATTGGTTGCCTTCTTCCCTCGGTTAACGGAACCATTTTTCAATTTGTCACACGAAATCAGCATCGATCGTGGCATTGAAAATTGTTAGAATTCTGTTTTTTTTTTTGTGAACCTAACTATATCGTCTGTCGCGCTAAAACGTGATAGCAATTTTTATATTATTTATTTCGTTATCAGACACCCGAAAAATTTGGTATTCGATACAGTGTGTTGTGTGACACAACTTGTGTCGGTCTTCCACATTTGGACAACGTTTGAAAAACTAATATGTTTATCAATGGGGTGTTTCTTTTTTTTTGCTGTTTTTCTCTCTCGTTGCTTTTTTTCAGTAATGGATCACTTCATTTCGCATTTGTTGACGTGATTGTTATGAAAAATTGATTGCAATTAGACTGATAGCAAATGAAATAGCTTGATTGTGATTAAATTTGTCACATTTACAGTGACCGTCTTTTTGTTGTTGTTTAATTTGATTCCATGTCGCACAGATTTACTGTGCGGATTATACGTGTGTTGTGTTTGAAATCATTTCAATAGTTCATTGATTCGTGCGTTCGAGGCATATTGAGTCGTTTTTTTTTTAAATATTCTTTGCTGTTTTGCTAACGCAAAACGCGTCAATTTTGCACGCATATCAATCATATGTACTCTCTCATCTACATATCATCTATTGTGTGTCGTTCTCTCTGCCATAGCTTAGTACGTCTGTGTGTGTGTGTGTGTGCTCGCGCACATAATTCCCAATATTCAAATTGATTATTTATAAATGAATACAAACTCTGAGATAAACAAGAGTACACGTATACTGTGTGTATAAAATACGCAATTTCGCGAACGAAAAAAAAACCGATTTCACATTTATTAAATTCTCTTCGTTCATTCGTTCGCCAAAGTTGTGACGATAAGACTGAGATTAACGGGGGGAAAAAACATTGTAGTTTGTCATAATGTGTTTCTTCCGTTTTAGCAAGTGTTCATTTTTCCCACTTTAATGAGCAATGGAATCGATTTTGTTTGATCGCTCCACATCATTTCAAATGTCCCCTTTGCTCTCAAACTGAAATCTTTTAATGAAAACGGTCACAGAACAACAACAAAACGACAATAACAGATATTCCAGAACGAAACAATGACACATTTATTTTGAAATGTGACAAACACATGTTACTTTTTTTTCGCTGCGTTTTCATTGATGCATCAAATATCTAGGTTTTCACTTACTGATTAGACGTGCTTCGCGAATGCCGCAGATTTGTCGGTTAACTGATTTTTCGTCGCATTCTTCATAGTCACTGCGGAATCGAATCAATTTTAGCAGGCTTTGAATTGCATCGGGCTTATTTGGTGGTGGTTGAATGACTTGCGTTGCAATTGTAATGCCATTTATTGAAGATGGATTACGACTGTGTCCGTTACGATGAACACTCACTGTTGTTTGTTGCAGAACACATGATTGTGTCGTCGCTGTCGTCGTCGTCGTCGTCGTCGTCGTCGGTGGTTGTGATGGTGGTGGTGTTGTTGTTGTTGGCTGTTGATGTTGCATTGGCGCAACGTTATTCGATTGTAGATCGACTAATTTTGGATAGTGGACCATTGTGGACTCAACATTATCCTCATCATCTTTATCATAATCATAATTGTGGAGTGTGTGTTTGAAATCTACATTTTCTAATGGTTTGGCCATTATTTTTTTTTGGTTTTTGATTGATTTTTTTCTTCTGATTCCGACGCAAGGTTCTTTTGATAAACTCACAAACACACGAACAACAGGAAAATTTAGCACAAAATTATCTGGAGCATTATCACATGCACAATTTAAATATCACACAAACGGTCGATATGAAATTTTTGCATTTAAATTATTTTCCCCTGTTTTTTTTGTTGCTGTTGTTGTTGTTGTTGCTCTTATTTTACTGGTATCCTTTTTTACTGTCACAAATAATTTGGTTTGTTTTTGATAAATCACGTAAAATTCCCAGCTTAAGAATTGATAAGAGAGCAAGCGAAAAAAAAAATTGAATTGCGCGAAGAAAAAACGAACGATGGTAGTGGATGACGCGCGTTCGTTTGTTAAATCGTAATTTTCAAAAAATAATCGTTAGATGATGACTGCTATTGTTGATTTCGTTTTCCAGGACACACCAAATTGTAACCGTATCCAACAATCTAACGCGATACAGTGATGCGTCTGCTATGAAATCATTTTTCGACTCAGGAATGAAAAATTATCTCGACCGACTGAGAGAGAGAGAGAGAAAGAGTGAGAGTGTGAATTTTGAGCCAAGCTCAAAGGGTCCCTTTGATGTGTGTATATGTATTGATGCACATGGAATTGGTTTTTCGGTGTCTATCGGGCGAAAAATGTTCTGCTGCTTTCGATGATGTGCATGTAGTTATGTGTGAATAAGTGTGTGTGCGTATGCTTCGCTGTACCAAACACCAAAATACCTACATGATGAATCGTGTACATCGAATTGCCTGTGTCGGTGTTATCAATGTGCCTTCTGACAAGGGAAAACACTGTGTGTTTACTGTACTTGCGATTGCTTTACGTACATTTTTCAATCTATTTCATGTGTTCTTCGTATGTTTTTTTGCTTCTTCTTCGTTTTTCTTCTTCACTTTTGTTTCGTTTTTGTCTCTATCTGGAGCTGCTTATTTTCAATTCACAATTTTTCCACTCTCAAGTGTCAATAGTTTGTGTGACTCTGTTGTTGTTGTTGCATCATTCATCCAAGATTCGATGAAAATTTATGTAAATGTATGTATTTCATTATCAGTTTGCCGAACCATATAATATACCACACAAAAGTAGTGTCTTTTTTTTAATGTTTCCATACACAAACATGCACTAAATCGACACATCAAAATCTTAGACACATTTTAAGCAGAATCACACATTAAAAAAAACCTTTTGAAACACACCAAAGAAACAATACTCGCAACAGAAGCAGCACTTGGCGCAACCACTTTTGCTCTGAAAAATGAATGGAGTCGACTATTGCCAAAAATAAATCGAAGCATGGAATGTGAAGAGAAAAGTGGTCTAAATGCTTTCCCGTTTGTATGTATTTATGTGGATGTCATGTTTTATCAGTGCCCGATGCTGCTGTTGCTCGGTTATAGTTGCTATTGCTGGTGGTGTTGCTCTTGGTCCCGACGTTGCTGTTCGCCGCCACTATTGCTGCTGCGTTGCTGTCGACGGGCGCTGATAACAGGCAGCCAGATGTGAAAGATGGAAAGAAGAGCATTGTGTACATACACGTCTATATTTAAAAATACGTTTGCGCGTTGATGTCTATGATGAAGAACGACGTTTTGAGCGAGAGAGAGAGAGAGACCAAACATCTATCAGACCCCATAACATGATGCTGTTGAATGCACCATCTTTCACTTTCATTATTCATTTTCCATTTAGAATCTGTGTTCGCAAACTGGGAGAGAATGTCAGTGTGTCGGTGTGTTTGTTGTTGTTAATGTTGATGGCGCGCACTCTTTCAACACTCATGAATAATGCAAAAGGCATGGATTTAGCACAATAATGACTTGCATACAGTTTGTGATTTTTTTTTCGTTCATTCCCGAAACAAAATCACTTCTCCATGTTATGTTCGATTCAATGATGGGCGATGAAACTATTCTCTCTCAATGTATAATAATATTCAAATGGAAATGTTTACAATATGTGGCGACCCCAAAGAAATTGACACATGTTGAAATTCAAATGGAATACATTTGAATTTCTTTTTTGTCTCTCTGTCTATTCGCGGGATGCTTTCGTTAGAAAAATCTTTGTGGTTGGTTTCTCATTAGTTTGAAGAAAGAAAGAGAGAAAAAAATATACGAAATTGGAAATTTACGTGACCAGCACCGAATTCATTGTTGATTGAATTCAATTACGCTCGTGCACACACGCAGTTACTGTACAAAAGACCCAACCGATAAAAGCGGCGATCACTTGTACATCGCTTATTTTTATGTTTATTTTTTTCATCGTTGTTTCGCCCTTTTTTTTAAATAAAAAATGAGTAAAAAAACACTCATTCACATGACACAAATGAGTTTCGGTACAATCAATCAACGATTTTGAATATAATACAAAATACAGAAACACACACACACACACATTTATGCGGATAAATATGAATATATCTTAACAAATTGCTGACGCAAAACCACACAAACACACATTTTGATTATTAAAGTTTGATGGAACACATTTTGATGTCTGTATTCATCAAATTCTAATTTTTACTCATTACATTTATTCAATGGAACATCAATCTCATACCAAAAATAAAATATGTACGTGGCGAGTGTGTGTGTGTGTGTGTGTGTGTATGATGCGGCTGTCGTTTTTCCTGTTCAAAACAAAATTGTTTAAAAGATGTCAAGATGACATTTAATTTGCATGAAATACAACCGATTTTGTAATACATCTCTCCATCTCTATCTCTCGAATAAGTTATGCTATTATTCTATTTCTAACATGACAATTGGTGCCGGATACCTATTTGAATCGAATTCGCCCATTTGAAACGCATAACACGCGGTGGCGATTGCATAGATTGAGAATGTTTGAATTGGAAAAAAATGCGCAGCAAGAGAATCACTTTGGAATAAAATGAACAAAAAAAAATAACGACAATAATAATCACAATTCAAAAAGCACCTTGAACGTGGTTTACAAATTGTGTCTGTGTGTCGAAATCTTGACAAATTTCATGCTGGACAACGGCTTGACGTCTGGCTCATGTTGGGATGAATGGATTTTTTTTTTCATCGCAAAATTTGTTTGCATTTTGACAAATTCTTGCAATAATAAAATCAGACGGTTGAAACACACCAGTTGAAGCATTCAGTCTCAATTGCATAGCCAAATTGACAAAAGAATTTACTGCCCAAAAAAACAAACGAACGACGAAAAAAAAACAACAAACTCGTTCCATTCATCTTTCAGGACTGACAAAGAAAAAACTAAACGAAACAGCAAGCAAAAATGTGTTGTAAAAATATTTTGGAGAGATAATGACACTTTGAACTGGATACCCCATTATACAACTGTATCTGCAATGTGACCGAAAGCGCATATCATAAGACCTGTATTTAATTAGAAATATTTCGTTGTGGAATTTGTTGGTGTGTACGTGTGTTGTCGTGTCATATGTGGTGGTCACAACGTTCCACCATTCCAAATTCCCGTATGCAAATTAATTTTTGCACTCAAAAACTGTTTCGTACTTGTCGAATACACACATGCCGTACTCTACATTTTTTTTTCTCGTTATCTCTTTGCTCTAAGCCACTCTAAGCCAAGCGAGGCAATAGAAACCATTAAAAGTTCATAGCCACATACTGTGAAACCAGTTTAAGAATAAGCTCGGTGTGTGACGACGCGGAGGTAACATACGAATTTATTTTTTTCTTTACCGTAACCAAAGTATTTGGCCGTCGTTTTTCCAATAAAATCTATTTTCTCTCTGGTTTGTGCAAATGAGAGCGAGTGCGCACCAGAAGAAAAAAAAACTACACATGTCGGAGGTGTTGAACATTGAACAAAACCGTAGGCCATTTCAACGTTTGTTGCAATGAGTATTTTTTTCATGCTTTTCCGTTCGATGAATGAGTGAATGGGTTACAAGTCCAAAGGACCGAAGACACAAGCACATAACACACACATTCGGCATGCATGATCGAGCATTTAGACGCTGGGAAATGTGAAAATTGTGCATGAAATGATCACGGATTGTGTGTCGGTTGATATATGCCACACATATAGAGATGATTACAGAATATGGCTCGAATAGAATGTATTTGTGAGCACCAAGCGCGCATATATATTCGATATATAAATTCGAATGTAGTATAAAAATGAGTGCGATTCATCGCACTCGCTACGTACGTGCCCAATTGTTAATTGGGAATTAAAAATAATGCGTCAGTTGAATTTGAACCGTCGAATGAGTCACACACATACACAAGTCTCAATTGTGAGTTAATCAGACGGCCGAGAAGGAGAAGAAGCAGAAGAAGGAGGGAAAAAGAAGGTTTTTGAAATAAATATTACAATCGGCGACGAATGGCGGTGCGGTCAATGTAAAATAATATATAAATCGTGTTCGCCACTGCGCCGTTCAATTGCCCCACAGCATAAATTCTGATCGGTTTTGGCAAAAGCGCGCATGCAGTCTACGAGTACGTACGATAACGGAAAGTATTCGCTTTTATCGTAGAACCGTAATCACGCGAATGGTTGTGCCAATTTGCAATTGGGTTGATGTTTTGTTAGTTGTTTGTTTGTTTGTTTTTTTTTTCTTATTTGTATTTTCTTTTCTACTTTTATATACGGTGTGTACCGTCTGCAATTTCATTTTGGAGAATTTGCTTAAATCTTTCGAAATAGTTGAAAATAAACTCGATACAAATATATTTTTTTGCCCGCTATGCTTTGTGTAAACACGATGGAGAAAAAAAAAGTTCCAAATATTTGACGAATGTGCAAATATATATAGTCAGAGAAGGGAAAAAAGTGTAGCGTCGCTATCGTGCTTTCTGATGATCATAGCTCGCGAACGGTGGCTGGCTGGTTGGTTGGCAAGTGAGCAAGCGAATGAACGTGCGCGCTCGCGCACACGCTTTTGATCAGTTTGCAGTGTGTGTGTGTGTGTGTGTGTGTGTGTGTGTGTGTGTGTGTGTGTG